GAGAGGACAAAGTGTGAATGGCCGCTCGCAAGGCAGCCGTAGGCGTTTGAATATGCGGATATGTCGTCTCCCGTGACATCCCTGCTGACCGACAGTTGCGCTGTTTATTTTTCGGCTTCGTGTTGTTTCAATCTTCCTTCCTTTTTCACGGTTGGCCCTTGCTGTGTTTGTTGGTCTTCATTTCACGGGTGCATATCTACCCACTCGTCCACTCTTTACACTTTGGGCACGCAGGCGTCATTTGGCCTGCAAAAAAACGGTCCCCCACCCCCTGCTTGTACTCGACCAAGAGACCCATAACAACAAGGCGAGGGCGGTCAGGCCGTGCGAGGTGTCCGATATCGACGATGCTGATGGAGACAAAACCTTAAGTGAATTAGAGACAATAAATATCATCCAAAGCCGCAGCATCCTCAAGATCCAGGTCATATGAGAATCCTCAGAGGGGATGGTAGAAATATCGGAAGCGGTGTCAACAAGGCAGCAAGGCAGCAGCTGCTGAGGAGGGGTTGTGCATCGGCAGTGCTGGACTAAGACGCTTTACAGTAAGAGGCTTTCCAGTGAAACTGAACCGATGCGAAATAAAAGGTGTGGCCCCGATTGCCGGGAGAAAAGAGACATCGGCCTAAGGAAAGAACGACTGCACGCATTCGTTCCGAAATATCACTCCTTCCTCGCCTTCACTGGTCATGCCAAAAGAGGAAGGACTGCGAAGACGGGGCATTCTTGGGCGCCGGTTTGAGCAGGAGGTGGGGCTAGGCCTGTGAAGAGGGTCCTTCTCGATGGCTCCGTTTTCTGGTCTCCAGACCGCAACATCATCTGTGTTTGTCGCTGTCGCATCGTGACGAGGCTTATTGATTCTCGGGATGGCACTGATGCGGCAGACAAAATGTTCCCGTCGCTGGTCGCCTCGTCCTCCTTCTCGCCTGTTGCTTCCATATCGCAAATAGTAACATGTGTTCCTGTGGTATTGAACACAATAAAATGCTCTCCCACCTTTTCATACCGTTGTCTGTTGAAACCCTGCCCTCCATGCTCTCCGAAAGTGGTGCTGGGCAGGCTGTTTTCGTTGGCTGTGGGAACAAGTTGCAGCAATGGGCTGCGGCCCATTGCTGCGGCAGGAGAACATGCCGCACGAGGATTGGTCTGGGCGGCCCACCGCTGGTCGTTAGGTGTTAGGTGGGCAGCGGTTTGGTGCTGGTGGTCGTCGAAACGACGCTCTTTCCTTCCTGTTTTCTGCTCCTTCCATGCGTCTGCCTGCACCTATCTGCACCTATGTGCATCTATGTGCATCTGTCTGCATCTGTCTGCATCCGCCTGCATACTCTTTGCATGTTTTCCCATAGCGCTTGCTCCGTAATTTTGGGTACGTGTTTGTTGTTCATGGCTGTTGATGTGCAAACCGTGTGGCTTGAATCGGCCAGTCGAGGTGGCCTGCGTGTTGTGGGTTGCTCTGGTTTGTCCCTCATCGTTCCTCGCATCTCACTAAAACTGGAAATTGCCCTCTCTCTCCCCTTCATCTTTCTCTTCTTTTTCTCTATTTCGTTGTTTTGCTTCTTCCGGTCCATCTTCAACAGGTTCCATCTCCTCACGCCCCGGCTTCCTCCTCGACATAAACGCAGCAATCTTTGGATTCATCAACTAGAGTTGAAACGAGAAAATCGCGACGTTCTGGGCTTCTCCAGATACTCTGTTTTTTTGTCCTCTCTTGTTAAAGATACTATTAGTTGCCTACCTATCTCGATATCGGCCACACCTTCCTGTTTTATACCCATTCACTATTCTGCTTGCCTTCGTGTTTTCTGGACAACCGTCTCAACGACAGCCTTGTCCGCCGACCTATCGATTTCTCTTTATTGATTTTTATTCGCGAGGCATTCGCTTGCACCTGCGACAAAATTATACCTCTGCCTGCTTTCGTCAGAGACGTGGCACAGAAACTCGACACTATTTGTTTACTCCACAACATAAAACAACAAAATACACGTCTCATTTTCCATCTCTCCATGGCCCGCTAGGCCCAAGTTCGTCCCGATTCTTTCGACGCCCAATCTCGTCTTGGCCGCCGAACTTGTCACCATCGTATAAACGAGAAAACAACACAAAATCCACATACAGCAGTACACCAACTGAATGAGTTCAGCACATCCCAATAGATAGCTGATCTTCTAACCATTTACGTTTTGAAAATCTAAAATCGACCCGGAAGAGTACGTTTATTTGCTTTCCTTAACAGCCATTTTCTGTCTTGTCCCATTTCTCGTCATTCCGCCGTTATCTTGCCGACTATTTTTGGTCTCCATGCTTGGTCTTCTGTTCCCCATTTTTTCCCATCGTGACTCTCCCTCCATACTCGCCTCGCCGTTCCTCAAGCACTGCCCGAATCACCTGGCGCGGCGCGATTACTCCAACTGGTATCGCTCAGACGAGGCAAATGCGTGACGAGTCTATTGCGCATTTTGTTTTCACTTCTGCAATATAGAGTGAAAGGCGGTTTTGCCCTTTCCCTTACTCGGTCTTTCCTATTGGCTTCGCCACTTGCTCATTGCGCACCTTTGGACGACCCCTACATCCCCAAATGATTTCGCCTCCGCCACCCATTTACAGCGCTCTTACCTCGCTGGATCCCCCTCCGTTCATTGCAAGTGGGATGTGCCCCAATCTCCCTGTTGCCACCTGGCACCTGGCACCTGACAGGCATTAGGTGACTCTTTTCGCCATCTCTCGGCTGGATGCGCTTCGTTGGCCTCTTCGTGACAATTCGAATTGCTCTGTTCGTCCTTGCCCTGTTGCCTTTACTCATCTGGATCCATCTTCCCTCGTGAACCGCCAGCACATTCAGCGAGACTGGTCAGTTGGGCCAGTCGCAGTCTGCCTCTCTGCCTACCTGCCCGCTCAATTGTCTAGGTTTGGCCTGTCAGCTGGCAACGACAAAGTCGAATGGATGGAAGGAACAATCTGACTCGTCGTTGCTGTTGGATTATGACCAAATCGAGTAACAGCAGCAAACTGTTTCTTTTCTGTCGTCGTTCATTCGTCTCCTCTCCTTTTGGTGTACCAAATAATTCGCACTTTCCCAAACCCAAACCGCCAGAAACACTCCCGTCGCACCCCCTCTCTAACTTCTGCCTCCTCTTCTGCCTGTATTGTCCCCCTGCCTGTTCCTGCCCTGCCTGCACTGCCTGCGGCGCCTGCCTGTTTCCCTTGTTCAACTCTGTTTGTGGGGTACTTCGCCGCCTCGCCACTCGCCCCCCAGGTTAGGCTTCCGCGCACACAAAATACGGACCCACCCAAAGTACCCTTCCATCTCTCTGACACAACGCACACACACCACGCGCACTTTCCCCCCTAATCCCTCTTCTAATTCCTTCTTGCCCCTTTACGGCGTAGTCTCTCGTTTTCTGTTGTCCTGTTCGCCTGTTCCCTGCACTCTGGAGCCACGAAAGTCATTCGCGCCACCCCCTGTTACCCACTTTTTCCTCTTTCTCTGCCACACTCGCTCTTTCCTCGTCCTTGCGACACACCCCCTCAACGCCCCCAGCCATTTCCGCTTTCCCTGTCCAGCCTCAGCCAAGGACAAGCCAACAACGCGGCGGCAATAAGCGGGTTGCTCTTTCTTTCGTTCTTCGCCACTCTCTCGCTCCCTCCTTTCCATCCAAGGGCAATTCTGTCCACACTTGGGCGAAAGAGTCATCGCAAAAACCCCATCGCAGGCCGCAAAGCGACACCACAAGACATATACTCACATCCACGCTCCTTTGCGCGCGCGTTGTTCTCTTTAGGTTTCCGGTTTTCGCTCGTCATCGTCGAACCTGTCCTTTTCGCACAACGAAAAGAGTCATAGGCCTCCTCGAAGCTCCTCTCTCCTTTTACAGTTTCGCTTTGTTTATCACGACCGACTCTCCGCTCCCTTCGTCTTGTCTTTGCTTTGGTATTCCTTTTTTGTCCACTTGTTTCCTTTTGACTCTTTCTCCATTCCCGACATATCTTCATCTTTTGCCCCTTCCCCTCCTGCTTCGCCTCCAGCAGCCGCCTTCACAGACGCATTCCAACAGGCTTCCGTCGTCTTCATTCGCATCACGACACGATCGATCGGACGACCATCAACGCAGCCCGTACCTGCAGCCATCGTGCATAACCGTCCACTTCGGATCTCGCTCGACATCAGTCCCCCCTACACCTTTGTAACTCGTTTTGTTCACCAAATCCATCAAGACATGTGTTCCTACCTGGCTCACTTGTGAACGCACGTCTTTCCAGTCTGCATTCACAAAACCTCCACGTCTTGTTTTGCCAACTCGCCCGTCTCTTGCTCCCTGGTCTCCTCTTTGTTTCTTCTCCCCCATGGTCCTTGACTTGTTCGTCGAGTCATAATTACTCACAGCCGACTATATCCATCGTCGTTGTTCCTCCCCGTTTGCCTCCTTCGTCCTAGGTTGTCTGCCTTGTCACGAAGCAGTCACCACCTCACCTTCACCTTTTCTTCATCCATCCCCCTCTCCCCTCCATCACACCCTTCCCACCTATATTATATCCTTCATCCAACGATGATCGCTGCGAGATACTCTCTTGCCCCAGTCGCTTGCCTCGTCCTGATTGTGTCGACCTTTGCCGGTCTGATTGTTCGTGAAGACTCCTCCATCTAGAGCAGTTTTCATTTATTCCTTTACTCCCCCCTTCTTCCCCGACGTCCCTTTCCACTCCGAGCGATATCCTCGACAGCCATCCGAGAGACACCGCCCGCAGAAGAGAGAACTACGAGAAAAGCGCGAGATTCAGGTTTACGAACAAATCTACGGCTCCCAACGGTTAACACTTCTCGACTCCCGGTAGCGACTGGAGGCTTTCACTTCCATGCGCCATTACTCCACCACACGTATTTCAACAACCATCACTCTTCATTACCTGAAAACACCACCAATAGCTTTCATTTCGTTACAATAATACTCTGACCCGGATCTTCTCCACCAACCGCCCCTCCCCCCACAGACTCCCTGAAGATGCAGGACGACGACGAACATGGTTCGCCTCTCGCCCTCCACCACCTCCGCCTAAGCCACGCCACTTCCACCCTTCCCTACTGTTCGACCTCGGTCGCAGCGTGTGCGTCAGCCTCGCAGTCCTCTGTTTGGTCCCATGGCTCCTCCGACTCTTTGTCGCAGAGCATTATCGACGACGTCTCGTTCGATTGTCTGTCGACGATCTCTTCACAAACATCTGTCAGCAGTCATGGCAGTGTATGCCTGAGCAGCCAGCAAGGAGCCGATGCGAAGCTTGCGGCCGCCCGTACTTGGCAGACCCAGCAGCAGCAACTCCAGCGCTTGCAGCAGCAGCAGCAGCAGACCGCCCCTGTCGCTGCCTCGCTACGGCAGCACCCGCGCCGGTCCAGCGTTGCCCCGGCCGTTGTGCCCTCTCTCCTTCGCCAGTCTGAACGCAGAACTACATTTGTTGACCATCTTGTCGGTGAGTACTTATTTGCACTTTTTTTCTTCAGTCATATACGCGATGGCCGTTTTGTTAGATGGCGTTTGTTTCTCTTTTTTGTCTCGCCGCACTCTGTTCCTGTTCTTGATTGCTTAAATTTCCCTCCCTTCTGTTCAGATGCGTCCACCCAGATCGTCCAGGCCATTTGGCCTCTGTCGTCGGTTATCGGACGTGGCGAGAGCGTCAACAGCTCGAGCAACAGCAGCTACTTGCTGCCACTGCGCACCTTCATCCAGGAGACGCTGCGCCGCTCGCGCGCCAGCTACTCTACTCTGCAGGTCGCCCTGTACTACCTTCTCCTGATCAAGCCTCGCTTGCCCAGCCACAACTTTACCATGGAGCAGTCAACCGACAGCCACGCCTGCCGCGCGTTGCAGTGTGGTCGCCGCATGTTCCTGGCCGCGCTTATTCTCGCGTCCAAGTACCTGCAGGACCGCAACTACTCGGCCCGTGCCTGGAGCAAGATCTCTGGTCTCAGCACGGCCGAGATCAACCAGAACGAGACCGCGTTCCTGCATGCTGTTAACTGGCGCCTGCACATCACCAACGAAGTCTACAACAAGTGGATCGAATGTGTCAACCGCTTTAACTCGCCGCAACTGCCTCCCTCCCCAGGCCCTGCCGTGGTCGACGGGTTCGAGCGCAAGTGCTTTGAGTTTCGTATCCTTATCCAGAAGCTGTCGCCGGATCTTGAGAACCTTGATGAGCTCTGCGGTCCGTCAACACCTGTTGTTGTTCGCCGCAGCAGCTCGTGCCAAATCGTCGGTGGTGCTCTGTCGCCCGTGTCGATGTGCTCGTCGCCCGAGGCCAGTGCCGACAGCCCGCTTCCTTCGACTGAGACCACCCCACTCGCTACGAAGTTTAGCGGTGCTATGTCTGGTGTTGTCAACAACAACGGTGTCGTCGCCCCGGCCCTGGGTCTCTTGCCTACGCCGAAGCTGGTCCCACCTCAAGCCGGTATCTTCAACTGCACCTCCGCGCCCGTTGCCTCCGCTCCCTCTGCTGCTCAGATGCTCTCTGGTAACCGCTCTTCAATGTGCTTTGCTGTTGCCCAGGCCTCGTCGGCGAGCTCTGCTCAGTTCCTCGACCGCTGGCCTCCTGCGCTGCCCACGTCGTCCACGTCGCCTGTCGGTTGCAATCTGACGCGCCGCTCCTCCCTCGCCAACTCGGTCTCCACGGCTTCGTCGCCCGAATCCATGATCTCGGACTCGTCTCTCGTCTCTCGTGCTTCTTCTGTTGCCTCGTCTTGGTCTCTGATGAATGCGCCGGGTGGCCAGCTTCCCAAGCTGGACACTCAGGCGCGGCACCGGTTTCTCAAGCACCAGATCAGCAGCAGCAGCCTACGTGAGAAAAGCTGCTTCGGTCTGAGAGCGGCGGGCAACATTCCTGCCGTGGTTCCCGAGGACTACGAGGTGAGTGACGACTGCAGCTCTGCCGTTTTCGCCTCTCCCGAGACGATGACCTACACTGGACCCGTTGGCAGTGACGCTCTCGGCGCACGCCGGTCGAGCGAGGTGGACGCGACGGATGCCGCTCGTGCCCTGGCGGATCTGCAGCAGCAGTCCTTCACCGTGGACAACGACAGCAGCAAGCCCCGTGCGGGCCTCAAGAGAAGTCGCCCCGTTTCTGGCGATGCGACTTACCTGCAGGACAATGTCCGCGACCTCCTCCGCGGAAGTCTACCCAACGACACCAGCAATTGTGGCCTCGAGGCGATGGTTGTTGGCCACCCTGCCAATGCTCAGGTTCCGCAACATCAGCTGCTGTCTGTGGCTCCTTCGGATCTGGACATCCAGGCTGCATCCCGTGCGTCTGCCCTGACTGGTAGCCGGAAGCGGTTCTGCCGCACCACGTCGGCCGACATCGCGCCGACTGCGAACACCATTTCATACGGTATGGATCTGCAGCATCCATCCATGAGTGGACTTTGTGGTCCCGGCATGTGGCAGGGAATCTTGAACTAGAAAGCCAACTGTTTCTTTGGTGGTCTTGATTTCGTTGCAAGCTTCTGAAACACCCCTTCGCCTTTCGCCTGTACAAACATTCACAAAACGCAACATTCATATATGATCACACGACCCAGGAAAGAACTAAGAACGCTCACTCTCCAGACATGGGATCCGCATAGGCGCAGAAGCATGCTTTAGAATCTTGTCGGTTCTTGTAAGGAGAGTTGGCCTCCTTTTTTTGATCCTGCTCCCGCAATGATTTGCGTTTCTGTCTTTTCTCTTGTGCCTCTACAGTTTCCTTTTTCTCCAATTTTTTGTTCCTGGGCTTGCCCAAAAAGAACCGAAAAAGCGCATTCTGCATTTGAAGGAGCGAATCCACCCAACGCGCGTTTTGTCATTCCCTATGTGGGTTTGCTTTTTGCTCCATTACTTTTTTGTTTTATTCCTCCATCCGTCCCTCGTATACCGTCTCTTACCTCTTATACCTCTACTTTCCTTTGTCTCGTTTGCTCTCATTTTTTTCACCATGCATTGTGGTCTCGGATCAGCACCACCCAAACGGACAATTTTTATGGGAACAAATTTTCGGGAGGTCAGGCTTCTTCTATTTCCAAGGGTTAATCTTATTCTTTCCTTTGTCTCTTACATTGCGTTGCTTTACTGTTTTTGTTGCCTTTGCTTATGCGTTTCTGTGGGATCGATATGGGACGTATGAACTGGGAGGGGCGGTGTTTTTACTTTATTTCCTTTCATATTCGGTGTCGAATGGGGACGATGGAGTCGGGTACGCGAGATGATGAGCGACGGCATTAGCCGATCGATGAGAGTTCCGGAGATGCCTCGCTTCCAGCCAACTACCGCCACACCTCCACGCCAATCGACCACCGGTACATACAGGTCTTTATCCCGCTTTTATCCTCGAACACTTTTGGCGGTGACGGCCTTTGGCTCGGATGACGGGAAGGGGGCTCCGAAGATCCAAGTAAGAAAGCAGGCAGCGTCGACTGTTTTTGCTTCCTGGGGACGCAAGAGAAACATGCCACAAAAGAAGCATAACAACATGCTATCTTATTGTAGATGCGCAGTCGGAACGGGAAGGAAGACAGAAGGAAAAGGGTGCAGAGGGCGGAAGAGGGCGAACAAGAGAAGGGACCGTCCATGCATGGGCTCTCGACTGTCGAAGAGCATGAGCAGCTTTGCTTAGGGACGTGAATCTCCTCATCCAAGGCTTGCTTTGCTTCAGATGGTCGCAAAAACAAAAGAGGCTCCCTCTTTCGTGTTGCTGCTGCTCTCCTTTTTCGAGATCTGCTTCGCGTTTGTACTACTACTACTACTTCTTCTATTACTTGTCTTACTTCACTGCGTTTGTTGCGTCTTTCCCACGCATAAACGTAGGTAAACAAACCGTACCAAGTCTATTTTATATTGAGTTCATAATTTCTTCTTACGTTCAGTTCCTTTTTCTTGCCTTTTGTTTATTGAGGCCATTCGAGTGGTTTGGCTTGTTGATATAGAGCTATCTTGCTGGGTGCTAACGGACAAAGTGTCTTGAGAAGTTGGATTTTTTAATTGGTCAGCAATGTCCTCTGGACGACACTATTGGCATCTTCTGACAGGGGGATGGTCAACGGCGGAAGCAAAGCGGCTCTGATCTCCGTTTTCTCGTCTTTTACAACGCAGAAACTGCCCATCAGAGGTAGGAGCTAGGCAGGCGTCTCCACAATCTCGCGATGCACTGCATGCCACGGAAGTGGGAAAGGAGCAGGCCTGGCGCTGCGCTGCCTAACACCTTCTGCACACGCCCCGTTCTGTTCCTCCCAGTCGGCTGCAAAGGGTTAGAGTTCGGCTTCAGTGCGAGTCGTGGCAGTGTTTCTACTCCAAAGAGGGGTGAGATACTGGCCGTATGGCGCAACTTGGTTGTGGATCGCGAATACAAGTCGTCCAACTCATCCTGCGTGGCGGTACGACTCACGCGAGACCAGGACTGCCTATTTCATAGACTACAGGTCACAACCTACCTAGGCATCTGTCCCATGTATACTCGAATGAGTAGTAAAGCTGTGAGTGCAGAATGGTTTTTTTTTGGGGGGGGGGGGGGGTTACGTTGTGATCGATTTCAGACAGGCAGAAGTCTTCCTAACCTGGAGGACACAATGCGCGACAATCGCGTGCTCACATCCTCCCACAGCATGATGGGACATCAACCCATGGGCAAATTTGATCTAGTGATGAGAGGGTACTCCTTGGATATATCAGTGCAACGTATGTTCACTCGCCCGTCTACAAAAAGAGAGGTTTTCACTAGAGTCAACCATCGTCCCACTGCTTGCACAAAATGTAGAAAAATGAGGTACGATGGAAAGCAGTTTGTTTCTTTCAAAGAGCACAGGATCGCTCCGTATTTCGAAGTAAATGAATCATTGTGATAGTATGCAAGGGCGTGTGAGGGCGTGCGAGGGCGTGTGGAACGTTCCCCTCACGCATTCTCCCCGCATGAGTCAACACGGCGTCATCTTCGGAGGAAGGGTGTGAAGATGGCTTTCCAATCGTGCATGGTTGGGTAATCTGTGGATCCAAAGAAACTATTGCAAAAGTATTAAACGTATTACATATTTCAGTTTTGTTGGTGCCTGTTGTGCCTGACGTCGGGTGTTTTGGGCCGACGGCCTAATAAATAAGGACCCGACTGAGCAGGCTATCGAGCGAGGCTGCAGCCTTGCGAACGCCCCCTGGTAGTCTCCACGACGTGCCTTGCAGTGCATTGCAGTATGCCAAACAACGTTCCCAAAACTAGGGTATACGACGGTATAACTAGCTGACGTTATATAAACCATATAAACCATATAAAACACTAAAATCTTCTAAAGGCCGCCAAAGTGATACCTCGCAGGAGATTAGAACTTCATGTTGAAATATTCAGGCATAATCTCAAGGAAGGACCGTTTGTTGTTTGCTGGGACGAGAAAAGCAATGCGCTGCAGAGTCAGGTATGTGAGCGACTTCCGATACGCTAAACCACCGGACACACCGCGGGCTGTCGCCATTGCAACGGCGGATTCAAAGATATGATGGGGCATCTGGCGGTAGAAGACACCCAGAGAGTAGAACAGGCCGAGGATCCCGGACACAAGCGTGTCGACGCTGTACTGGAGCCGGATGGTCCTCTCATTCGGACTAGCGCTGACGTGTTCGCAGGCGGAGACCACTTCTTCTCCCTCCTCGTAGGTATCCCATTCGTTCGGCAGTACGTCCACTTCGAGCAAGTTCTGGAAGCCCTGCAGCGTCAGCTCCCAGCTGTCGTTCCTTTGCAGCTTGCCACCAGCAAAGACAATCCATGAGAGCAAGTCAAATGTCGCACGCAAGCGATCCCGCAGAGCCTTGCGGCCCTCGCGAGTCTGGTTTTGGCTGGCCGGATAGGGCCCGCCGCCAAGCAACAGCCACTCGGGAATCTGCGTTTTCCCGAGGCTGGGGCTACGCATCAGGGCCGGCGCAACAGTCATGCGGAAACCTATGAAAGCAATGCCATCCATGGGCCGTTCGGGAGCACCCACACCACGGTCTTCAAAATAAGAGGCCAGGAGTGTAGAAGGTGTCTCATCGGGCTTCGGATCGAAGATATCTGAGACATACATGCTTTCGAGAAAGTAGAACTGGTCCATCGCAAAGCAAGCATGGGCAGATACAAGAGGCCCCGGGCTCTTCGTCTCAGGCGTCTTCACGTCCTGTTCATCTTCTTCATCGTGGCCTTGGTTGGCTTGGTTGCGACTTTCTTGCTCGCATTCGACAGCCTGTTCGTCGCAGCCGAGATCGGAATATTCATCAGAACTCCATCCCGGGCTTCGATCTTCGCCTTCATGAGAGGATTCTTCGTCATCGTCGTCGTCATCGTCGTTTAATTCCTCGTCTTCGGCACCTTCTTCGTATTCGTCTTCGCCATCATCAAGGGTCTCAGAGCCCCTATCAAGCATCCGTGTGCTGACAATGTGTTCTGTGGGATGTTCTCTGACAAGAGCATCAAAGTCGTTCATGTTGAGGACAAATTCCGCTGCAGCGTCTCGCTCTGGCTCTTCCGAAAACGGAATGGGAGTATGGAGATATTTCTTATTTCTATTCTTTTGCAGCCAGACCTGCATAGACTCGACCAAGTGGTCCATTTTCATCCAAGGGCTGTTCAAAACTGCCGTCTGGGGAAAGGGGGTTCGAACACGTTAGCCGTCACGAAAGCCCAGACAAAAGTTGAAGAACAAACAACAAAGCACTCTCTCACCATCAGGGCCGGATCGATGAGCCGGGCCTCGGCTCGTCTGGCCGCATTGTGCTTTTTCAGCGGCCGCTTGTATCGCTTCGGCGTCAAGGTCAGGTTCCACTGCGGCTCAAACGCAGCGAGCATGAGGTCACGCAGCGTGTAACGACTCGAGAGCATCCATCCAAGGCGTGGGCTGGCACGCGGAAGATTGAAGTTCATGGAGTAGAAGAAGATGCGCTCAACGACCTCGAGTGGAAACCGCTGGTCCATCGGCACCGACCTTTTGGTCCGGGCCCGACGCGCTGCATTCGAGGTTGACAGGGACGACGCACGCCCCGACGTCTTCTGCGAGGCCGGGGACGACGCCCGAGACCGCTTGAGCGGTGACGAGGGTGACGAAGACAGCGTCAACCCGGCAGTCGCAGCGGCCGTCTCCGAGTCGCTGTTCGGATGGCCCGACGACGAGGCGCTGCCATTGCTGGCATTAGAGCGGTTGCTCTTGCGCTTGCCCCGCATGCGGATCGGAGTGAGCTTCAGGGCTGACGACTGCGTCTTCTTGTGGGTGTCCATGTGGGAGTCCATTGCGAATTGTGGTGCTTTGAGGAAGGCTGACGGATGATAAATAGTGATGAAAAATGCGTGAAGCGAGGAGTTGGAAGAATTCGGAGAGATAGGAAACCTGGGCGCACGACCGTGGGCTGCGGCTTCCTTTTTAGATGACGTCCATGGTGATACGTTTCCAAAGTCACTGTACGTGAAGGGAAGGCGCATCCGGCCAACTGGTTGTTTTGCGCAGTATCTGACTCCGTGCAAGTGCCCGGATGCTGTTCTAGTATTACTCGATGCGCAGGAACTGGAGGTTGCTAATTGCCTAAACAGGGCAAGCGCGAAGCAGCACTTACTCTGCCAGCCTGTTGGGTGCTGTTATATGCTGTAGGTATTACGCTTCCATTGTGTCGTTGGTTGGTGGGGGCAGTTGGGATACACTAAGGCAAGGGCCGCCTCCAGTGGTCAGAGGAGCGTGAAAAATCTGCCAGCCGCCACCAAAGCCGCCACAACGGCGCGGGTCCTCTGTGCCTTCAGTGCCTCGGCGCCTTGGTTCGTTCCCTGTATCTTACGGAGCACAACGGCCATGGAAATCGCGCCAAATCGGAAAAAGTTGGATCGTGATAGCAAACAAGCCAGTTTCGCCTGGCCTCGACGCCAACCTACCTGTTGAGCGACCAACTGACACGACGCGAGCGACGGCTGCGACGGGATTACAAACACTAAAGAAAGCGGCCAAAGAAGAAGAGGGATCTTACAAACAGGTACCAAAAGAATATCTCGACATCCGTGCGACAGCATCGCTTTGACTTGACCACGTCGATACAGCGAGAGACACGTTGGTTCCTCGCCAGGCACAATGTTGGCGTCACCGATGCGCCTGCAGCCTGCGCCGTCGGCGGGTCTCTTACGGTTCCTGCGGCACCAGTCGGAGCTTTTGTTTGTGACCGACGGCAGCAGTCACGGCGGCAGCAACAGCAGGAAACGGCCGTCACGAGTGCCGTCGGCGAGCAGAAAGAACAGCACCACGCACTGTGTCAGTGAGACGGCTGTTCCTGTTCTGCAAGCGTCCCTCATAGACCTCGACACCCTCATCCCCAAGACGCTACGCGCACGATGGCGGCCGACGACGACGCCCGTTCCGCCCGTTCCTCGCAAGCCTTTGAACAAGACGGCGCTGTTGGCGACACCCTTTTCTACATCACAAGCCGTCCAGGCTTTCCCATGGCGGCGCTCCGACAAACGACAGAAGCGGGCCGTTGGATCGCCAGTGGCCCGTGCGTCGTGGTACGACCGGGTCATGGACTGGCACTGGGCCTGGCATTGGCGCAACAGCGGGGCCAGAGATTGCGCGGACACGCAGGTGGGCGGGAGCGCAGGCGGCCGTCGGAGTTCTCTGCTGCCGGGTGACTTGCCCGACCACGGTGCCGGGGCCGAGTTTGCGTCGGTCATGTTCAATGCGCGGCGGCTGCAGACGGCCAAGGCAGCTTTGGAGCCGCGGCTGCGGTGCACGGAGGTGGACGAGTACGGCGAGGTCATTCTCGTGGACGGCGAGTTCAAGAAGACGGAGTTGATTGCCAAGTACGGGCTGCTGCCGCGGGATCTGCGCAAGATCGACTCGTCGAACCTGCCGCACATTCTCGTGCGCCCGGCCGCCATCCTGCTCAACCTGCTGCACCTCAAGGTCCTCATCAAGGCCGACCGCGTGCTGCTGTTTGATGTCTACGGCTCCAAGACGTCGTACCCGCAGTCGGCCTTCATGTACGACCTGCAGGGCCGGCTGCAGCAAAAACAGGCACCGGGTGCGGCGGGCGGGCTGCCGTACGAGTTCCGCGCGCTGGAGGCCGTGCTGCTGTCTGTGACCTCGGAGCTGGAAGCCGACTTTGACACGGTGCGGGAGCCCATCCTGCGTATTCTGAGCGAGCTCGAGGCCGACATTACGCGCGACAAGCTGCGCGTGCTGTTGGTGTTGTCGAAAAAGGTCAGCACGTTTGAGCAAAAGGCCAAGCTGGTGCGCGATGCCATCGAAGAGCTGCTCGAGGCCGACGACGATCTGGCCGCCATGTACCTGACGGAGAAGAAGCACGACCTGTTCCGGGGCGAGGACGACCACACGGAGGTAGAGATGCTGCTGGAGTCGTACCACAAGATCTGCGACGAAGTGGCGCAAGAGGCCGGCAGCCTGGTCTCGAGCATCCGAAACACCGAAGAGATGTAAGGACGACCCTGCTAACCCCCGCTGGCTATATCCATCTGTCATCTGTCGCACCCATGACTCTTTTCACGCACACATTGCTAACCAGCCACAGTGTCCGTGCCATTCTCGATGCCAACCGCAACGCCCTGATGCTGCTCGATCTCAAGTTCAGCATCGGCACACTCGGCCTCGCCATGGGTACCTTCCTTGCGGGACTCTACGGCATGAACCTCGAGAACTTTATCGAGGAGACCAACTGGGGCTTCGGCTCCGTCACCGGCATCTCGTTTGCCTTTTCGCTGCTCGTCTGCTGGTATGGCCTTGTGAAGCTGCGCAAGGTGCAGCGCGTCAAGATGCACGGACCCTCCACCGCCAGCGGCAGTGGAGGCGCCGCCATGACCACTGCTGACTGGGCCAATTCGTTTGCAGCCCTGCCACCCGGCGTCACGTCCGCAGGCTTCGCCAATGCGCCGTTGGACGCCCGGAGCCGCGAGCGGTTGCGGCGCCTGGGCATGGTTCGCGAGGCGCTTATGCGGAAGAAGTACTATTAGAGCACACTGCACGAACCAACAACACCCCATGTCTTGTTACCACCAACCCCCTCACATATCTTACTAAATGTCTGTACGCTGTACGATAGACGGCGGCCGAGGAACGGCCCATAGCTCATAGCTTGGTCGCAAGCTAGACTCACCATTATCCAAATAGACTCCTTTCTTTTACATATGACCTCTTTCGTAATGTCCATGGTACCCTGGCATACTCTGTACGAAACACAAAGCACGGTCCCGAGCGTCCCTAGATTGCCATCGTAATTATTTCAATCGCCGATCCCTTCCTCTTTCTTGTGCCTAGTCCTTCACGTGTTCGATCCGTCTCTTGCCCTTCTGGCCCTGTGGTTACTCCACATGTTCATAGTCCGTTACCTGCAACGGCCATTATCAACCATGACGCGTGGTGAAAGTGGAATCCTCGTTGGCTCGAAATAGAAGGATGCGAAGGCGTTAAACTCTCCCATGTTTGGATAATGCCCTTCTAACCTCCGCATCAGCCTTGTCAAATGGCCAAAGGCACACGGCTGCATTCCGTCGGTGGTTGCTTGAACGGCAAAAAAGGCAAGCTTCTTGTGCCTTGATCCTGGATATGGCTGCAGTAGTGACATCACCATTCTCAACCACAGGCGCTTGATTGGGGGCATGGACAGGTCTCGCCAGCATTCGACCCCACAAATAAGGACTGGCGCATAAGAGAACCCTGCCGATTAGCGCTCATAAAAAAAAAAAAAATGGCAAAATACGACGTTGAGGAAAAAAAATGGCATGGAAGGAGCAAAGCTTCCTTTTCTTCGGGGATCCAGTGCCTTCTGCCACCCTATCGCGGGCCTTGCCTCGCGCAGGTTGGTCCGCTCCTTCCCACATCTGTGGCTGTTACCCCTGCTTGAAAGCTTTTCTTGCAGGGCGGATGACGTCACGGCTCGCTCTTTCTGTTGCAAAAGGCTCCAAATGACACGAACTGGAAAAATGAGCAGGTGCTGGGTCCCTTTGCGCCTTCCGTTGCGCGATGCAATTCAAAATAAAGCAGGAGCTCGATTTGAATAAATTCTCCGACATCTGCTCTCTCGTTGGCTTTCATCTTGTTCTCTTCTGTCTCTTCAGAATCACAACAACAAACCTTTCGCTACCACCACTTACACGAAAAATACAACAAGCACGCTACCATTGCACACACACAAACTCACACAAAACCTATACTACCAAACCGTCAACATGGGTTGTGTCCTCTCCTGTGTATGTTGACGCCGCTTCTTCGCGCTTCTTCTTGGAGTATTTAATTTTCTCTTTGCTAATGTGCCCCTATAGATCGAAGGCATTTGCCAGGCCATTGGATCCGTCCTGATAGGCATCGCTAATGCCATTGGCGCAATCATCATGTTCATTGTTGACGGTGTCATCGCCGTCTTTGATATTGTAAGTCGCCTCGCAGCCGCGTCTTTTTTTGAAACAATGGCTAGTCACAAAAGAAATGTCACGCTAACAAGCTTGTCTGCAGATTATCGGCTGCCTGACGTGCCAGGGCTGCCGCGGCCGAGGCTTGCGCAGACGACGCCGCGTCCACAGTGCGGTCTAAGGGGGCCGTGAGTCGGCTCGACGACGAATGACGAGCAACGACCGCACATCGACCTGGAACGGAACGTTGCGAAGCATTCGCCGCTCGTCTAGGGGGGAGAAGGGGGGTTGCATTTTCATTTGATCACGGACTCGGCCACTTCTTCTGTTTCTTTTTGTCTTATGTTTTTACGATGCGTTTCGACTTGTCCCACGGACCAACGACCCCCAATATTCCACAAAACCACCACATCGATACCCATCCACATATAGCTTATCTTTTTTGCATTAGTTTGCTAGATTCATCAGAAAACTGTTGCTCTGATTTAGGCGCTTCACTCTAATAAATACAACCCCACATACGCAAATCTCTGGATATCTATTTTGTGACCGAAGTGAGGATGGAAACAAAAACTACGAACGAGTATCGCGCAGCTTTTACCCAGCCTCTTCGATAATGTCCTTTTTAAAGAACTCGGAAATCTGCCGAGCCGATTCTTTACCGACTATGGGCTCGAGTTCCGGTGCGTCCATGGCTGCAATGGCCGCGATGCTTTCCGTTTCCATCACCAGTGTACGAAGATTCGCCGGTGTAACACCCGGGACGGCCGCCAGCATTTCTTGGGGCTCAAGATTGAAGGGTTGGTCGTCGGCACGTGCGTGTGGGTCGAGACCGGCACGCACGGCCGCTACCGGATCGGGCTCGGCTTCGTGCGACTTGAGCCGCTCAAAGATCTCGGCTGTCTCATAGGGCGACGACGCCCACAAAATACGCAATCGCGGGAATGCTAGCGTCAGAAGCACAATCTTGCTCTGCAAGTCGTTGGCGTTTTGTGGGTTGGGGATCACGCTCGAGCCCGACGACGACGATGAGGCCAAGTCGGCAAACGGCTCGAGCGTGAACGATTTGTTCATGTCAAACTCAATCAGCAGCATGGGATCGCGGTAGTGTTGGAACATGGTCTCGCACTGTGTGTAGAGGCGGCCGTCACGGAACGACGAGATGAGATCGCTAATGGACTTGCGCTCGACGCAGATATGGTCCGAAAGCACGTAGTCGCCCACAGTCAGCATGCACGGCACAACGGCCATGTTGCGCCCGTGCAGCAGCGAGGGCAGCGACGAACGAAACTCGCGGACATCCACAACGACGCGCGGTTGTGTCGTCGCTGCCGTGGTGAGCCGGCCGCCACCGGCAATACGTGTATTGACTGTCCGTAAAAAGGACTCCTGGGGGTCGTCCGCGTTGGAGATGTTGTGTGATGCCGTCGTTGTGAGGGTCACCGCCATGGAGGCGCGCTCCTTGATCAGTTTCGTGAACGCGTCTTTTTCACGGCGCACGGCGGAAAGGTACTTTTGCTCTTCGACGGAACCGCCATAGTACATAAAGTAGGTACGTACGCTGCGGTCGTTGTGTGACGATCGGTAGACCTCGATGCGCCGGATGAACGCCGCATCTGGCTCGTACATGATGATGTACCGCGGCTTGACTTCTTCTAGTACGTGCTCGTCCTGGTCGCCGTCGTAGGCGTGGATCACCACAAGGTCGCTCATGTCGTACATCTGATAGAAGTCGTCCATGTCTTCCAGTGGATCGGCCAACGCCGCCAGAATGTCGGCTTTTTGTTGAGCCGCTGCAATTTCCGCATCTGTATTGATGCCGCCATCAGTGCTTGTTCCCGGCGTAGACCCTGCCTCTGCGGCATGGATCTCGGCCATCAACTCAGCGACCTCGTTGGGCTTCTCAAAATACTGTGCGACGCTGCCGTTGGCGGCTCGTCCTCCAGATACGGACGCAGAGGCGATGGCCGATGCCGTGTTGGCTTGGCCCATGCCGCTGCCACCACCACGCACACGCCGACGCTTGTTGGCCGGCGCATTGCTTCGGACCGCACCCGCAGGGCGTCCCGTGCGCGGGTCGATGGCGCCGCTCAACGCCTTCTGGTTCTCTGCAAAGAGCGTCGCATTGACGTTTGCAAATTCGCTCTTCCACTTCAAATAGTTGCGCAGTTTGCGGCGCATCATAAACGCGCCTGACGGCCGGTCTTCTTCAGCGTCAAAAAATTCTTCTACTCTCGATTCGGTGCGCGGCCGCACGTGCATGGTCTGCAAGAAATCGCGCAACTGGCGGCATGTGTCAACGTCGCCGCACATGATCAGGATGGTGCCGTTGGAGTCGTCGCGTGGTACGCTTGCGTGGTACAGATCGCGGTCAATCTCCTCAAGAATATCACCCAATACGCTCCACTTGGGCTGCTCCTCGAGGACAGGGCGTAGAGTGTTGCTGCTGCTGGTGTTGTTTCCGTCAAGGCCGCTCATGCCATTGCTGCTCTTGAAATTATGCTTGCCTGTGTAGACTCGTCGCTTGGCCGTGTCAAAGATGGTCTGGGCAGCATCGAGGAAGAGCCACGGTGACTGCGACTGGCGCGTGGATCCAGGGGGCGGCGAGTGCGCCGCATGAATCGTGTCAAGGCGCTGCAAAAATGCGACTGCGTCACACTCGACGATCGACTGCAGCATGCCGCGCAGGACCGTGAGATCGCCGACAATCTGCTTGCTCTTCCAGCTGACACGGTGCCAGTTGGGGTCGAGCTGACGGCGCACCATCACGTCGAAATTCTTGAGCAGCGCGCTGTCGAGATTCCAGTCTTCCATGTCGAGGCCTGTGTTGGATTTTTTCAGCTCGTGAATGCTGACCTCGACGCACTCGAGAATCGCGTTTTGAATGTCGCGCATGCTGTCGGTCATGGCAACCTCAAACTCCACGACCTCGGCGCGCTTCTTGCCCTCGAGGGCCGTGGCAACGGTGACGTGGAACCGGGGCCAGAGGGACGCTTTCCGCAAGAACAAATTGCGCATCATGGTGGCCAGCGGTGCAAAGCCCGTTGCAAACGCCTCCGGGTTGTCTGAGAAGGCCTTGAGGAAGCCGACCTTGTTCTTCTGGCGGTAGATGCGGAGAATAAAGGCCTCCAGAGACGTGGCCACGACACGGTCCGCATGCAGCACGACCACACCCGTAATGGCGGTCGGGTTGAGCAGGCTCGTCAGCAGGTCGACAACGAGGATGCGCGACGTGACGCTGAAAATGCCGCCGGCCGCGTACATCTTCTCGCGCGCGCCGACCGTTGTAAAGTCCGTGTTGACAACGGTCAAGCCCCGCGCGCGAGGTGCCATGCTGATGGCCGCGTGCTCGGCCAATGCCTCGCCGATCCATCCATTCTCACGGTCGTCGGCATTGACAACGAGCACCAGGTTGTTGCCCGCGGCATCGTACGAGTGCAGCAGGTTGGTGACGAGGCGCATGAGGCCCAGCCCCCGTGCTAGCACGACGAGCTCATCGTCGGTGCGCAGTTCCTGAAAAAGATTCTGCTGGTACGCCAGCGGCAGCGACAACTTCACCGGCTGCGGCGCGCTCGACGAAGACGACGACATGCGGGGCGCCAGTGCTGTGTCGTCATGGCGTGGCGAGTGTGGTCTTGATGGTGTAATTCAAGGTGCGCGTGTGGGTGGCCTACCGCTTGCGTCACAGGGTGCACCCAAACAAGAATTCTGAATGCGGCAGTGCGAAGACTTGGCCAAGCTGGAAGAGCATCGATCGAGAACACGCAAGTTATGACGATTCGTGAGACAGGACTTGCTCTAGGCAGGAGGCGCAACTCGCCTTCCTCGCGAAGTCACGTGCCACTATGGAGAAATACTTTAAATGCACACGAGCAGTTTAGGCCTCCCAAACCGGCCGCACCTTCCCGTTATGATGCTCTGACAGGACCAACCCACCTGCGTAAGTGGGACGACGTCATCGTTTTCGGCAGGAGCTCGTCAGCCATATATAGATGGCAGCCTCTGTCTCTAGGCATCAAGATTCTTGTCTATAACAACAAACAAAAAAGACAAGACGCGATAGACATGAGACTTGAAGATCAGCAACAACATTGCAAACACACAAACCATCAAATACCTATCTCTACAACTGAATCCATTTACAATGTCGAACTCCTCCAACTCTGAGCCCAAGTTCTCCACGCAGGTGGAAGATCCCTCCAAGGTGAGAAAATCTGCGGCACCGGCAGACCGCTCTCGTTGCCTCATTCTATCCGCTCCTGCTAACCAACGCCAGCCCGACGCCCCCAAGCACCAGCACGGACTCTTCGAGGCGGCCAAGGACAAGTTCTCGGCCCACCAGGCCAACCCCGGCCCGGTCTTGCTGAACAGTGCTGGCGGCGTACCGCAGGAGGGCACAAAGGAGGAGAGACGGGCAAAGGCGGAGGCGCTGAACAAGGACAATTAGACGGGAGGCCACGATAGAGCCGCCAAAGACACCTATTCTTGGAACAATTGAAATCTTTCTACAGTTGAAACGTCTCCATCAACGTCGTGCGATGGCGTAATTACGTAGTTTTACAGCGGTGCTGTCCCTACTTTACAGAGGGGTGCCCCTGAGCACTGTGCCAGAGGCTCAAAGTGGCGCCAGTAAGAGCGCATGTTGGTGGCTGCCACTTCAGCTCGCGTCGCTGGGCTGTCTCGTGTGTCCGTCGCCCTTGCCTTCTATGAAACACGGAAAGAGTGGCGCAAAAGGTTGTCTTACTGATTCCGGAAACCGAATGCCGCGCAATTGAAGCAGCTACGATGGACTGTTCATGTTTTGTAGGGGCTGTTTGTTCCTCATTCCCTCGACTTCGTGCATTTGCACTTTCCTTGTCGCTAAGTGCCATCTGCCTCCTGCCTACTTTGTAGGCTACGACGAACACACTTGCACAGCTGCGGTCACCCTCACAGCCCGCTGTAGCCACAGCTCAGGCGCTTACCCAAGTGAGCGTAGCGCCAGAGGACATGGTCGTTTGTGCACCGCCCAGCGAACAGCCCAGCAGCCCAGCAAGCCCAGCAAAGGAAGGTGCCCGACAGAAGCCCAGCGAATCCGAGTGCGTAGCCAAATCTTGCCATTCATTGGCCGTTGGATTCCATCCCTCCTTCCATTTCTTCACCCTGCCTCACGCCTTCCATATCGGTCTGCCAGCCGCCCTCATTGCACGCATCGGGCTCTTTATCCCTTTTCCACTGACTCTCGTTCCCTGTTCACCCTCACGTCTTGTTTCCCAAATCGACTGCCCACGCATGCTGCTGATCTCGGCGGCCACGACCTCGAGACATTGCCGCCCGACCTAGCCAGCACGCCAGGCGCCATCCCCATTTACTGTTGCGTCGCTCGCTCCTTTACCCGTCTGCCTGCCTCATATTATCGCCCGCCTGCTCATTTGCCCAAAAGGGGCATCTCGATTTCTCGGTAGTCCGACGCCGCGTGCTGTCGAGGTCTTTCATGTTTACTGTTTTACGGTCTGATAGCAACGACCGGCCGACGCTCTTCCTCCAATTCCCCCGTCCCCCGTACCCACCATGCCGTCGGTCCTGAGCGAAGCCGACAAGGAGACCGTCAAGCGCTTCGTGCCCAAGGCAAACAACAAGATCCAAGCCGTCGCCGTCGCCAAGCTCTACATTGCCTTTCCCAACCGCCAAAAATGGACGGACACCGGTCTGCAGGGCGCTGCCGTGCTCTGCAACGACCTCGTCGGCAACACATTCTGGATTAAGATGGTGGACATCTCCGTACGTCTCCCTCGTGATCTCCCCCTATCCTTCCTCCTCCCCCTTGCATTTGCTCTCTCTCCCCTGCGTCTTCGTCTTTGGCTAACCCGTGCAGTCCGGAAACCGTGGTGTAATCTGGGACCAGGAAATCTACGACACGTGGAACTACAACCAGGACCGTGTCTTCTTCCACACCTTTGAGCTGGAGGACTGCCTCGCGGGGCTGTCTTTTGCCGATGAGAAGGAGGCCAAGCAATTCAAAAAGAAGATGGACGACCGCGAGAAGAACGCCAGCAAGGCCACGCGTGCCATGCCTTTCGGTGGCGCCGCTCCCGCAACGACAGGTGGTCACAAGCATTCGCGACTCGGCGGCATTTTCGGCGGCCACCGCCACTCATCTGCACCAACACCACCCGAATCTCCGCGGAGCTACGGACCGGGCCAAGGCTCTGGATTCGGCCACGGCCGGTCAGGTAGTATCAACAGCGGCCGCGGCCCGACGCCGCCGTCTGAGTTTGCGACTCTCGACGCCTTCGACCCCAACTGGCGCGAACACTTTGGCGACGACTTGCGGGCCAAGGGTCTCACCGACGAGTTCATACGCGACAACCAGGACTTCATCGTCGACTTCTTGCGACAACAGTCTGCACCGGCACCGGCAGCGCCAGCGCCAGCAGCATCAGCGCCTCCTCCACAAGCGGCGGCCCCGCCGCCTCCGCCACCTCCGTCGGCTGCACCCTCTACTGCAGTTGCTGCAGCAACTGCTGCTGTTGCGGCGTCTAGTGGGCCAGGCATGCGTGCACCACCACCGCCTCCTCCCGGAGGTGGTGTGAGTGGTGGTGCGGCAGCAGCCAAACGGGCAGGAGGCCAGCCGCCTCCACCACCTGCGCCTCGCCGGTATGGTGCCAAAACTGACCCAACGCCCGCCGCGCCGCCACCGCCACCCGAACCCCCCCGTGAGCCGTCCCCGCCGCGGCCCAAATACGCTGTGCCACCGGCCCTCGCCGATGCCGGTAAGTTCGCGCATTCGAGGATGCCGCCGCAACAGCAGAGCCGTCCCGTGCCAACCACACCGGGCCCCCCGCCGCCACCGCGCCCTCCAAAAACGGCCATCGACGACGACGACAACGGCAACGGTGGACGCCGGTTTGGTGTGCCTCCACCCTTCAATGGCCAGCGCAACGTTCCCCCGCCTCCAGCCAGCCGCAACTCTGGCTCCCCCGCCCCGCCCTTACCAGCACGCGAATCTGCACCACCACCAGCGCCACCACGGCCCCCAGTTGGAGGTGCCCCTCCCCTTCCGCCTTCCAACACGCGCCCTGTCCCCATGCAGCCGCCACCGCCGCCTGCTCGGAACTCTGGTCCCTCGGCGGCACCTCCACCACCACCACCTCCTCCGCCTCACCCCAACGGTGGCATGAGCGGTGTTCCTCCGCCGCCACCACCACCACCTCCTCCTCCTGCTCACCCCAACGGTGGCATGAGCGGTGTCCCACCACCACCCCCTCCACCCCCGCCTCCAGGTGGCTCTGGTGGACCTCCTCCACCTCCTCCTCCGCCGCCACCGCCTGGTGGTATGGGCGGCCCGCCTCCACCTCCTGGACCACCTCCGCCGCCGTCTGGTGGTGGACCGCCCCTGCCGAAGCCTGGCCAAGACAGGTCTGCAGTGCTGGCGGGTATCCAGAATGCAGGTGGCATTCAGGCACTGAAGAAGGTGGACAAGAGTCAGATTCGCGATCGCAGTGAAGCACAAGTGGGCGGGCGCAGTGCAGACAGCGGCCCGGCTGGTAGTGGGATGCCACCGGCTGGTGCTGGTGGCGGCGGCAACGTTGCAGGCTCGCTGGCCCTGATGGCGGAGCTGCAGAAACGCAAGGAGAAAGTCAGCAAGAGTGGTATGTTTTGTTCCCTTCCATTCGTTTTGTGCTCTCCACACAAGTACCTGTCAGACCCTTTCTAACAAAGCGCAGATAATGAAGAGTCGGACGACGAGTGGGATTAGGAGGGCCGTGTTCGTAAGCCTGGGCTTTGTGCTGAGCGTGCCATGAGATGGACCACGCCATATTGACACGCCAATAAATCTGCGCCTGTCCAGGTCTCTCGTGGCCTAGCCCCTTATTTTGGATATTGGATAGGAAAAAGTTGGGCCAGAGACGTACGAAGGAAGAAAGGCACAGATGGCCTACTGGACACATGTGTCGAACACAAAATTGCATTCATATGAACAATCGTACATTGACTGCAACGTCTTATCGAGTATGGCTTAAAGCTGAGCCATTATAACCGTTGTATTCTCAACGGATTAGTCTCGACAGCCTCGAACTGTTACGGTCTCTCATTTTTTTTCTTTTATTTTTATTGGTTTTGCTAAACAGAGAGACTTTTCCGGCTTACACGTTTTGCTTCGTGTCGGATAAAGCGACAGTTTTTCTTTCACCGTTTCTTATGAACCAATCAACTTTTTGGACGTCGGTCACTTTACTTTTCCCATGGTATTTCGTACAGTATAGTATATACATGCAATATAAGCCGGCACACTGGACTCACTTGAACCCGCGTGCCACTTTGGGCTTTTTCTTTTTCTTGGGCCGCTGACTCAACGGTCCTCCTCTGTGGATGGTAGGCTGCGACGACGGCAGCACCCGGCCCGACATTATGGTGTGGTGCATCTGGCTCTGGCTCTGGCCGGGAATGACCTGGCTCGACACGATCTGGCTTGGCAAAATCTGGCTGCTAGGCTGAATGCGCGGCACGGCGGGCGACGACATGCTGCTTCCTCCCAGACCGCCGCCTAACATCAGCAACCGGTCGCGGTCCCGCATGGCCCGTTTTTCCATCCGCCTGCGCCGCCGCTCCTGGGCCTCTTGCGCCCGGCGGCGTAACTCTTCCTCGGCCTCACCTGCCGCTCCCAAGGGCACCCACTGGAACTGCTCTGGGTCGCTGCCGAGCTGCCAGTGCGACAACAAGCGCAGCTCGCCTTCTTTGCGTGCCGGCTCCGACCGAATGGACTTGGCGTACTGACGCAAGCGTGCCACAACAGGATCTTCTTGCGCCTCCTCCATCGGCGCTTGCCCATTGCTGTCCGCCTCCGCCTCGTCGCCACCCTCGAGTGATGGTAGGATACCACCAACACCGCCGCCGCTGCCACCGCCACTGCCTCTACCGTCGTCTTGCGACGAAGACGGGAGCCAGGCTGGAATTCCGCCGCGAGCAGACGACGGTGGTTCCCGCAGCTGTGACAGCGCCGGCGACGACGGAAGAAAGTGGTTGCGGAAGCGCGACTCGGCGTCGGACCGGGGAAAGTGAGCCGAGTAGGGCGTTGAAGCGGAGCTGAGTCCGCCGTCCTCAAACCCTGGCGTGGTTCTCGCGCTGCCGGCCATGGCCATCTGGCGTGGCATAACGACCATGCTGATCTGCGAGAAGAACAGCTGCACAGTCGCAAAGGCCAAAAGACCCTGACGGCGTGCATCGGCACTGTTATGACCCTGGCCGTCACCCACCTTGTCAATCAGGCAGAGCCCTGCCATTGTGTCGTACAGGGTCGATGCGCCGCCGTTTCGGACGTCTCCTTCTGGCAACTGGTTCGAAATGGACACGCGGCTATCTTCAATCGGCCCAATCTCGACGTCTGCGAGCTGCCGCGTCCAAGAGTAATCGGTGAGATCAGCCCCGTACTCTAGGATGTAGTCGTAGTTGGAAATATTGAGCCTATCAGTGTTAGCATGATGGAGAGGACTGAAAGACAAATCCTGGTCGGTATATGATTGAGTTTCACACATACAATGTCGTGTAGGCAAAGCCTCCATGCTCAGTGGCAATGTCGAGAATCTGCCGAATAATGTCCAGCGGCGATGGGTTCTGAAACCCCCGGACCATGTCGGTCGCCTCGTAAGCCGACTTTGCAGCTTTGTCCATGTGTCTGTTCAGGAGATTGAAGAGTCGAGCCATGTTATACACCTCGACGGGTCGGCCAGAGCGGCCGCCCATGTAAGAAGCGCTCCCTGCGGCCAGTCCCCGCTGGCCATTCTGGCCGATCAAAGGACCTGTGCCGAGCAGGTGTTCTTCAATCCCATCGGAGACTACAAAACTTTTTCGAAGATATCTGGAGCCGGCCTTCCACCTCTTTTCGATCTTGCCCTGTCGTTCCGAGTGTCTCCTTTTTAAAACAGGAGGGAAAGGAGCCAACTTCACAGGCTTGGGTCCCGACGAGCTCACACAGAGAGACGACCAGAGACTCAGGTCGGCACCCAGTGTCAGTATCTGCAAAACAGTCACGCCCTTCTGTGCGTATTCGCATCCGATCGGTCCAATGTGTTTCGGGTTGGTCCCGCGTATTTGGACGGTTTTAGGGAGCAAAACCATCGTCTGCTGGCCGAGAAGGCGGGATTTTGTCTTGTCGCCATGCGGCCCAAAGGGTGGACGGGCCAGCTGAAAGACCTGTTGCTGGAATGTCGACTCCTCTCCATCCGAGGACTGCTGAAACCAGAAAACGGCTACCTCGGGGTGCTTCATAGAATATACCAGTGTGACTGCCACATCGTTGCCCTGATACGACTCGGCCTTGGCCACAGATATCTTTAACGTTTTATCGTCTGGTCCTCGCAAATGGGGGCAGGAAAGTAGGAGGAGAGGCTGCGTCAGCTTTGGCGATTTTGACGTCTTTGATAGCGTCGACGAGACTCTCGACGCTCGTGCAGCTTGAAGGGGTGAGAGGTCGAGCCAAAAGACATTGGTCGTCGTCAAGACAAAAACATGGGCCGTGTTGACTGGCGACACCTGGATATCGAGGACAATATCCACACCGATACTGTGCACTGCGTTGAACGTGCGCAAGACACCGTCCGGCTTTTCGACGGCGGTAATACTGACAGACGTTGCATTGCTGACCAGGAGCGTGTTTGACTGGGGCGCATCCTCGTCGATTTTCGGCAGCCAAAGAATTCTGTGCAGATGACCAAGATCTTGAGCGACAACCGGCGGCCCTCCAGCAGGACCATGAGAAACGGTGCCCCTTGCGTGCAAAAACGGCAGCAAACCCGTTTTGCGTGTATGTCTGCTGCCCGTGATGTTCCAAATTGTCCACTGTCCGCCCTCGTCGATAATGGCAATCTGCGGCGGATTCGTCTCGGTGGCCGGGTTGAATGCCACGTCGCAGTGGGCGCGGCCACCGGTCTTACTAGTCGGAATGCGGATAAACGGGTCCGCTGTAATGTACGTCAGGCCGCGCACATCGTCATCGCAAGCACAATGCTTATTCTGGACGGGGACGCCGTGCAGCGTCGGCTGGAAGATGATGGTCTCGGCCGCTGTCTGGACGAGAATCCACCTCAGCGGCCGCTTTGCATTGTTGTTTTTCCCATGGACGTAGTAGGTGCTGCCCGCGGTGAACTTTATCTGGTTGATCGTCAGGGCGTTGTCGCACCAGTGGCCTTCGTCCTCGGGATCGATGTTGGTCAGCCTCATTGTTGCGCTTCCGTCGGTGCTCCAGCCCCAGTCCTCCGCCTGGGCCTGCACGATGCGCAGGGCATGGCCCGACTGGCCCGTGGGCATGGCCAGTGCAGGGCGGGCGACAGGTTCGCGGCCGCTCATGTCTGTGATCTCGCCATACGAGAGAAGCGGCAGTCTTGTCCGAGGCGACTGGTAGAGCTCAGATTCCAGAGCCTCCTGGAGAAAACCGGCATACAGCGGCCCCGCCATTCCTTCCAGAGCCTCGGGGGCATCGACAAGAAGCTTGTTCAGATACGAATTTGGCGCTGTCCGGATACTAGAGGTGTCTACCGCCGTTGGCGGATACCACTGCTGGAAACGAGCAACTTCTTGAAATGTGTGCACTAGCTTTGGTGAGCAAGCGGCCCGGGGAAGACAAAAAACGAAAGCCACCAAGCCATATGGTATCAGCTTACCTGATCTGGGAAACCGGTTCGTTAGCAGCTTGCCAATGGCTGCCTTTCTGTCTTCGGCGTCGACATCGTCATCATGGCCGTTGTCGTGATTGTTGGAAGAGACATAGGTCAGACGGCCGAGGTGGCCAAACACCAAGTGATTGGCACGGTGGTCGCGTACAAGACTGGTAGGCAGGACCTTTGCACCCGCAGGCTGCCCAGGCCGGTGCCTCTCAGCCATCTGGGTGGGAGTGCGGCGTATTCACAAAAGTCTGAGGCGATAATGTCATATTTTGATGGGCTTGCGAGTCGTGGCTTGTAGCAAGTGCGTAACGAGCCGAGTGCGGTCAATATTGGTCAATTATGTGAAGCAAGTTGAGAGCACACGAGAAATGAGAAATGACACCAGTATCCAAGATTGAATGCGGGCAAAGCTGTCGTGCATGACCCGTTTCTTCAAGCCCAAAAGTCTAAGCTTCGTTTTGCTGGTGAAGTGAAGCTGGGACGCTAGACGCTGAAATGTGGGTCTACTGTCGCTGGATGCGGCAGGAAAAATAAGACGCCGCACTGCGCCTGCCAAAATCACCAGAGCGACAGGCCCTAGTCCCAAAGAAGAAATACAGTATAAACAATGGCGCGCAGCGGCAGAATCGCGAGACTCGATTTCACCGGTGCAAACTGCAAAGCAATCAACACGGCGCACGACGACACGCGACGCCCAGATATCGCGACAATTGAACGTCCTTTCCTTGCTCTCGCGGCGTTGTCAAATACAATACGACCTACAAATCGCCATACATACCGACAACAACCGCAACCCTATACCCCTCACAATGTCGACGACATTCGAGCCGTCCATGTCGACGAGCCGGCAGACGACGGCGACGACAGGGCCGTCCATGGCGGACCAGCTGCCGAGCATCGATTTTGGTTTTGATGCGCTGCGTGAGCGCATGGCACGCTTCACAGTCCGCTTCGACGGCTTCATCGAGCAGGGGCGCAAGCGGGTGCTCGAGGAGCGCAACCAGTTCCGGATGAACGTGGCAGAACTACAGGGTACGTGTTTGGAGTCTGTGGGCGGGCGACAACGAGATGCCTGCACAGAACTAACGCAATTGCAGAGGACGAACGAATGCGCAAGCGGGACGTCGAGATTGTGCAGCTCAAGTCCAACAGCCTCCAGCAGACCATGGCCAAGGAGAAACAAGAGAAGCAGGAGATGGAGGCGGCCATCGCCACGCTCGAAAGCCAACGCGACCGCCAGGAAGCCGAGCGGGACGCCCTCGCGCGCCAGGTCGCCGACACGCAGCGGGCCATCGATGCCAAGATCGCCGCCCAGCAGGCTCGCGCCCGGCAGCGCGAGGCACAGGCGCGGTTCAACGTGCCCGAACTCGACTTTTGGGTCACCAATCTGTGCCTCACCATGGAGGGCGCCGGAAACGATGACCGCCTGCGCTTCGTATACACACACATTGATGACCAGGACTGGGCGCGTGAGGCGTGGTTCGAGCTGGATACGGCGCAGCGCGACTACGCCGTACGGCACTGCCGGCCGAAACTGGAGCGCGAAAAGGTCGACCGGCTGCTCGAGCGTGTCAACGAGACGCGGGAGCTGGTGGTGCTGCTCAAAGGCATGCGGGAGCTGTTTGTCGAAGCGATGAAGTCTGTGTAGACTGGAGACGACAAGAGCGCGAGTGCAAGAGGCCAAATGGCGGCCAAAGGGCCCTCTCTGGCATAATGACATTGGAAGGGATTGGGTCACTGTACTACGGACTGGACGAACGGGCGCAGACAAGGCGTTTTTGGTTCTTTTGGATACCTCTGGTTTCATGTTTTTGTTTCTACTTTCCGGAATGTATAACGAGCCATGCAATTTCTGTGTCTTTTTCCAAACGTTGAAATCCAGCGAGGCAGATGGGTTAAAGACTCAAAGCTGACAGCCATGATTATTATTTGCTTGAAAAAAACAAGAAATGTTACTGGGATCCAAGGCGACCAGTACTCGAAGTCATACTCCCTACTTTGCGCCCTGCACGACGATGTGGGGCGCGCGTGTGTGGCAGGAAACCTCATGCGCAGCGTCGCGCCTGCCTTCTCCCCGCATCGCGCTAAAGTCAATCTCCAATCCGTTCACAACACACAACCTCAACTTTTACAACGTCCAACAAACACACAACTCCGCAACTATCTCAGCGACAACATGCCCGCCGACCACACTGAAAAACAGGCGGCCGCCCAGGCTGCCGTCGACATCCTTCACGAGATGTCCACCATCCTTGTTCGTGCCCAAGCGACGCTCTTTGCCGCCGTTTCGCCAATCCGCCGTTTCGCGCTTTTTGCTGACTGTTTTCTGCCCAAATAGAATTGCCAGCTGGACCGCCGCACGCTGTCAATCTGCATCTCCATGATCGAGAATGGCGTCAGTCCCGTTGCCCTAGCAGTATGTATTTTCCCTCGCCACCGTCTTGTCCATAAAATGAGCGTGTCCGGCACGAAAATGAGCGCGTCCAACACGCTAACTATACCGTTCCTCCACATAAGAGAGCTGTGATGAAGCTGCGCGAGACAGGCCAGCAGGTGGAACAATACATGGCGACGCAACAGAACCGATAGATTGCTGGTGACATAGTTACGACGACGAGACCGTGCCGGAATGGCGTACCGACAGCATACAATACGACGAAACGAGAACACGATTGAACGAAAACAAAACACTTCAGCATGCGCACGGGAATAAAGGCAAAATGGTCAAAGCATCAAAGACGATGGACCCCGTACTCCAACAAGACATAGACAGGGATGCCGTCGGTTCGTATATGGACTGGCGACTGGGAGCAGGAAACGCGTGCTTAAACAGGACCGTCTGTATTGACATATGGAACGGGCTTCTGGCTGCAGGCCCATGATACCGTCTGGACAGACTTCTAGGTGGCATCGCTTTGAATAAGGGACAACATGGCATGAGAGGCCGCGCTGTAGCCTGCAAGGACACATCGACATACCTGTCAACACCACGTCGCAAGCGACCGTCTTCGACGATTTCGAAGTAAATGTCTTTCAGTATGATGCAACACGAGGATAAAAGTGTGAAGATAAACAATGCATAACATTATGCTGCCACTATACGATGTAACAAATTTGAAAGACACCAGAAACAGGAAGCCCTTTCGGTTAAGCAAAAGAAACAACGAATATCCTTGTCACAATCGCATGTGTCCCATTGTCCAAGTTTGTTGAAAGCTGCAAAGAATCGTGCCTAGACAAAACAAGCATATGAAAATAGACAGAATGAAACGGCTAAAACAGGCCCGTCGGACCTCAAATTTCCTTGCTATGCATATATGTGTATCGTCTGCGTGTTTGTGCCATGCGTGAAAATACCCAAAAGTCTCGCTGTAAGCTATATATGTTCCTTGTCCCACGCGCCGTATAAATGCAGAAGCAAAACAGAACAAAAGAAGGAACAGCAAATAGAAAAACGAAAATTTTGTATCATGCCTCATGCGTCGTTGTCAAAAGTCGTGGTTTGTAGTATCCAGTCTATATCATGCAAGTACTCCATTATGTCTGCATGCATGTACCGTTGCCGAAAATGTCCAAGTGTGGTTTTGGGGAGACAAGGATGACCAAAGTGGATTTCCTTGGTTTTGTTGGGAGTCTCTTCGGTCCGAGCATGATGACAATTGTCAAAACACGACAATTCATTTTTTTCAACGAAAAATTCCCGTTCTGTATTTTGTAATCAGTTGCGTTGAGAAACGGGAGGTTGACCTTACGTACTACTGCGTCGAAGAGGTGGCACAATAGTCAACTGGGAGGGGATAACACTATCGGTGCCCAAACAGCTGGATCGGCTCCTCGTCATCATCGTCATCCTCTTCCTCGTCTTCGTCGTTGTTTTCATCTTCGTCGTCGTCGTCGTCATCGTCGTCGTCTTCATCGTCATCGTTGTCGGCGTCTGAGTCGTCCTTTTTGCCACCACCGAAATATGGACTGACTTTGCGTCTCCCCCATGATAAGGCAGCATGGCGGTCAAAAAGGCCAAGGATGTCACCGTCCTCCATGTCAGACGACTGCTGGTAGTCGTCCTCATCACCTTCCAACTGAAAGCCCTCTTCGGAGTAGCCGGGAGGTGCAGTGGCAAGAACGGGCGCCCGCGTAGGCGATGTCATAAAGGCCGGCGAGGCGGACCGGAAAGACATCAGCGGTGGGGATCTAGGATGGGCGAGGGCTATGCCGCTGTCTGGCCGTGGACTTGACGACAATGGTGTCGACGGGACAGAAGGCGCTGGTTGTAGTGCGCTGTGAGCCGCAATCCCCAGCTGGGAACCAACGGCGGTGCTGCCCTCTGTCGCTGCCTTTCCTGCCGCATCCGAGGCATCTTCGGGCGCGCTCTGGCCCGTCTCAGCAGCAGCGTTCTGCCCGTTGTGTGTTGCTGGTAGGTTGAGCAAGAGAAGCTCAACGGTGTTGTAGGAGAGGCAGACCTCGCATCGCAGGCCACCCCAGTGGTAGGTGGTGGATGTTTTTGCCTCGCAGTCGTTGCACAAAATGACAGCGCGCGTGTTGGCATATTCCTCGGGCATTGGTTGTTCTTCCAGGTGCTTGTCAAGCCGGCGGAACATGCTTTCCATGTTCTCGACGCTCTTGTTGCAGATGGGACACTTGTACGACCGCTTGATGTACTCGGCGCGGCAGTCGTCGTGGATCATGTGGCCACACTTCATTGTGACAACCTTTTTGTGCGTCGTGAAAATGTACTCGCCGCAGATGGGGCAGTCGCAGTCCATGACACCTTCTCGGCAGCGGTGCGACTCTTCTTGGTTGATTGCAATGCACGAACCACATTTCTTAGACAGATAGTTAGGAACAACAACATATACAATAAAGTAGTACGAAAAAGAAATCGACACGACATAAACATACCTTGCAGTGGAAAAAGTCCTTGCCTAGACCTTCACCGACACGGCAGATGCCGCAGTCGTTGCAGTGATAGATGCTCTTGTCCGGGTCGTCGTTCCACAGCTTGCAGATGCTGCAAAAGTAGCGGGCAGCCGACTCACCGCAGTTGGCACATACATCACCGGCTCGTTGTGCATGGCCGCAGAGCATGCATAGCATATGCTTTGTGTCACGGCGTGGCAAGACGTGTTCTTCGGCGTCATTGTGGCACAGCCGGCAGGTATACCAGCGCTCGCACGCATCACACTGCAGCTTCACATTCCGGCGGTAGTGCTCACAGCCCAGCAGCTGCCTTCCCTCCTCATCACGCGCAATTCCGTCGCCTGTCACATTCGCATCCGGTACGTAGGTCGGCCGTATATCGTCTTCGGTCAGACTAAATGTCTGCGTCTGTGGCAGTGGTGTTCCGTGGGAGTACGCAGCATGCCAAAACTTGAGGGACTCGAGCGGGCCAAATGATGCGGGCGCTTCGTCCCGGATCGAAGCTGCAGTAGCCGGGGGGCTTGATGGTGTCACAGGCCGCAGTGGAAACGCGGGTTTTCTCGAGCGCTGGTAGCTTTCCATCAACAGGCTGTGCATCATCTTCGCTTTGTCCTCTGCGGCAATGTCGCGCGACTGCACCGCCAGGATGCGCCGCCGCAAGGCCTGCATGCCGTCGTCTTCAGGCAGTTCTATATTCCCATAGAACCCCGTCGGCAGGGAGGCCGGGGTACCCATCCCAAGCGACCCTTGGCCAGCTCCACCAGTATGCTCCCCAGCCCCGTCCGCCACGTTCAGCAACCCAAAGGGGTCTTCAAGCCCGATCTCGGCTGCATTGCTGCGTCGATGCGCGTGTTGTCCTTGAGGTGCTGAGGTTGACAGTGCAGCCACGGCGGTGCCCGATCCAGACACCAGTTGGTCTTCCTGATCTTGTTCCTGCTGTGTCTGCAACGAAGTCGTACGGCTGTGTCGAAGAAATGTATTTTGAGAACGAAACGATGATGGTACCGGGCTTTCGGCAGCAGAAGTGTTCGCGGAGGGACTCGAAGTAAAGGTGCGTGCGGAAGCAAAAAGTCGTGACAGTCCAGACGGGCCTTGAGCGGTTGTCTGGCCGCCTAACGCCCCGCCAGCCTGCTGCGGCCCTTGTGACGGCCCGACAATCTCATCGTCGTCAAGTGTCGACGAATCTAGATCGGACGACCCGAGCGGCTGGTCGAGCGGCGTTTCGGGCCCCGGGGAGTTGAAGTTGGACGAGAGTCGGCGTGCTTGGCGCAAGACGGGATTAATGATGTAGTCAGGAACAAGAGAGGGCATTGGGCCAAAATAAAAAAGGAGCAGCTATGCCGATAACGATGTCTTGTTGACAACAAAAATGGTGGGGCGACTATGGCGCTGAGATGAAAACCAAAGTGGCAATATGTCGTACGTTGATGGACGAATCACAAGCCCAAAACAGACGAGACAAAAGAGGACGAGAGGTGTCTAATAAGGAGCCAAGGGTAGAGGCAGAGAGCGCAACAGAGGCATGTTTTGTTGAGAGTCACAGAGGTAGAGGTCCAACGGGAACGGGAATCGTGAGCAACGGCAGGCGATCAAATGGGACCTGCACCAGAAATGGCAGTGGCCAAAAGACGAAGGAGCAGGGATGGGGCGGACGGAACGGTGGGGGCTGTCTGGCCGTCTGTGGGGCAGGTGCGCGCGAAGTATCCGGCTGCACGTGCCCAACACTTTACGGCAGTGGCAGTTCTGTCATTCTGCTGGTGTCCCCAAGCTTTGGGCTATTTTGTTGACCCTTCAGAGGGTCTAGCCGCAAACAGCGCCAATAACAGCAGTTTGTGCTGACAATTCCAGATCTAGCCGAGACCACAACTACAATCAATCATATTGGACCAACCCCCGGATGATGGCATGGCGAGGCTATTTGCACATGAAATACAGCCGGGAAAGGGAGCACCAACCTAGACTGGCTTTCGAATCGCCTCGCGGTTTGGGGATTCCCAAACAAAGTCCTCATTCGCTGCATTCATAACGAGATATCGCTCAATTCCTCCATATGGAATGACAGTATAGGGGGATGGACACGACTGCTGGATATGATATCAAAGTAAGAATGTGCATTTTCACGGTTAATCGTGGCAAGCTTTCTGTCGATCCTCAGGCCCAGCCACATCTTAATAGAACAGATAGAGTATGTCCTTGTGCCTACCTGCAAAGAAGGGTTCAAAAGATGCATTCGAACAGCAAAATGGGTGCCAAATACAGAATAAGCCGCGGGTTAATTGGAGCCCTGACAAGGCTTACGTAGCCGACCACGTATTCCTGGCCCAAGTGCAGCCTCGACGGGAGGGCGATCAACTGTGCCGGGGTGCAGTCTCAGCAGTTTCCCCAGAGCTAGCGGCGGCAATCACGTTGCGGCCTGGGTCTGGCCGTGGTCAACAGACTTGGAAAGCTTGGCTGCCCGATTGCTTGTTCTGCCCGTCTGTGTCGTCCACTCGATGCTGCCTCGGTGATCAACACATTGCCCGTCGTTGGTTGTTGTTTGGGCGGGAAATGTATTTTTGTACGTCGTACGGGTTTCTTCCTTGTATTGTGTGTAGTTGATCGGGGATCCATCTTCAATAATGCGTGAACATATATTTTGTTTTTAGGTCATGAACGCAAAACATGAAACGGAAAGCCTTCTCGGACGATATTGTAATGTTAGTGAAGCCCGAATTACGGCGCCGATTGAACCGGACAACGCAACTAGAGCTGCGAACGCAGAAGGCTGAGCCCAGGGTGAAAGCAGCCCCTGACGCCGTCGATATTGTGTGTGTGTTTCAAAACACATCGTTCCGTTATCAGCGCGAGTTCACAGATCTTCTTTGCATGGGTGTCGTCAACAGACAAACCACGTCTCATTGCCTCTGTTCCACCGTATAATTTCGTAGTACGATACTTTATCTCGTGTGGGGGTGTTGCGTTTGAAGCAGTTTCTTAATATGTCACATTATGGCTCTTCCATGAAAACACACAACGATAAAACCCGGAATTGCTTCTCTAATATTTCGACGCCGCAATGTCGTTCGTCCCTTTTTTCCTTGTCATTGCTCCAACTGTCCCTTTTTCTGCTGCTCGATCCGGCCATGTGGATCCTGCCTAGAAACTAACACTTGTCTCTTCGCTGCGCTTCAGCTCTCCTGCAAGACCCGCATATGGTGGAAGCTTCTCACTGACTGTTGCATGTGATTGGCCTACCTAGTTCTGCAGTCCCCCAGCATCCCAGAAGTGTTGGCTGCGTTTTTGGAGCTGGCCGGGCCTGCAGCACCCCTGCCGCACACAGCCCACCGCCACGGTTTGCAGCAGACGGGTCCTGGCTGCAGGGTATCAAGCCCGGTTTCTACGCGTTGGACTGGGCACGAACGGCGCTGAAAATAGCGGCCCTGAATCGCGCTACAAGTAAGGCCAGGCACGGTTTTCGGCGTCTTTTGGCGTCTAGTTATCAGCTGTTGTGCATTGCTCTGCCGCTCCCACCAAATCCTGGTGCTCTCGCAGCCAATTCGATCAATACGAAAAGGACACCTCTGCTCATTGTCCCACCCACACAGCCGCCATCCCTTTTCCATGTTTGCTCTGCCGCGCTGGTCTACTGTTTTACGCGTGCAAACAGAGCTCCCTTCCTTCCTATTCCGTATTCCGTCGTAGACTTTCTCCAGAACTTGCCAGCATGTGGTGCTCTCGTCGCTCGCACTGCCAACCACAATTGCACACCCCCTCCCCGTCTGCCCTGTCATCACGACGCCGTTGTTGTAAATTGGTTTCGGCGTTCATAGGGACTTTATGAAATTGGTGCCTATCGCCAGAAAATCTCCTGTTCTTTCCACTGTCTTGTCTGCAACTCCCTATTTTGACATCATCAGCCCATTGCCCTTTCCTTTCTCGTGGGACTTTCAATGTCTCCTGTACGCTAGAGGAGCTCTTTCCTTCTGGACCTGTCCCTCTACCCCTTGCGCCACCCCATACCCCTGCCTCCTATTTGGCTCTATCCATAAACGTGTTTTTAACTTCATAGGCTTTTTCTCTCCTTCCCTGCCTTGTTCTGATTCTCGTCGCGAGAACCACCCCCTTTCCTTTTCCTCTCTTCTTCGTTCCCTTCACGACCATCTTGTTTCGATTCTTTCATTCGCTCATTTCTTTTTTGGTTCTCTTCTTCTTACTTCGTGTTCACACGAGGCTCTGTTGTTTCTTACCCTTCTCCATTTCTTTTCTTCCTCCCCCCTCCCCTCCCGTCGATCGCACAGCTGCGCGGAGGCCTTACCGTCCCATTTGTACTTTTCGATTCGACCTCCTCTCGACATCGTTCTCTCCGCGCCTACTAGTCACATACTCGAACGTCGTCTCTCCTCGGCACGATGGCTGGAAACAAGGCCGCTGTGGCCGCTTCCGGCGCCCAGCCCTCCAACACAGACACCCTCCGTCAACGTGCGGCGGTTGCCGACCCGTCCGTCACGACGCCCGCAGCTGTTGTCGAGACTGATAACAAGAAGAACGTGGCCAGGAAGACCCAGTCGCCCTCCATCTGGCAACTGATTGGGGATTGGGAGGTCGTCTGGGCCCCTATTATCTTCACAGCCGTCGCCCTCTTCACGCGCCTCTACAAAATTGGCCTCTCGAACATCGTCACCTGGGACGAGGCACAGCAAGTTCTCCCCATTTCGCTTCTTGTTGCTTTTCTTTCCAATTTGACGCCTGGGGCGGCATGAGAAGCGCCCATCAATATCACCTCCAATGGGTGTTCGGATGGGCCTGAACCAGAGAGGACAAGTTTGCTAACCTCTTCATTTTTTCTTGTTCCACTACAGCTTTGGCAAGTTCGGCTCTCACTACCTCCAGCGCACGTTCTACTTCGATGTGCACCCTCCTCTCGGCAAGCTTCTCGTCGGTTTGTCTGGCTACATCGCGGGCTACAATGGCACTTTTGAGTTTAAGTCGGGCGAGACTTTTCCGCCTGAGATTGACTATTGGACCATGCGTGCTTTTAATGCCATGTTTGGTATCTTCCTTGTTCCCATGGCCTAGTATGTCCAAAGTCCCCCCAGATACCTTGTTGCGCAAAGGATGATAGGTGTCTTATTTACTGACTATCCGACGCACAGCTTCACCGCCCGCGAGCTGAAGTTCTCGCGCCCTGCTGTTTGGCTCGTCACCCTCATGATTCTGTGCGAGAACAGCTACACGACCATCTCCCGTACGGCCACGCTCGCCCGTCTTCTCTCCTTGCTCATGAGCAAATCGATGGTACTAATATTGTGGCATAGGCTTCATCCTTCTTGACTCCATGCTCCTGTGCGGCACTGTGTCGACGGTCCTGTGCTGGGCCAAGTTCCACCGCACCCAAGACAAGAGCTTCAGCCCGGAGTGGTTCTTCTGGCTGACCATGACCGGTCTCAGCATCGGCTGCGTCACTAGTGTCAAGCTTGTCGGCCTCTTCGTGACCGCCATGGTTGGTCTGTACACCGCTGAGGACCTGTGGAACAAGTTTGGCGACATCAAGATCAAGCCGGTACGCCTCGCATCCACCGGACACGCAATCCATCATATGAGTCGCCATGGGCCAATATGCCAATACAGTATCTAACTAGCTTCTTTACAGACTGTCCTCGCCGCACACGTCGCTGCGCGTGTTGGAGGACTGATCGTCCTGCCCTTCCTTGTTTACCTGGCCAGCTTTTACGTCCACTTTGCTGTCCTGACCCGCACCGGCCCTGGCGATGCGCAGATGAGCTCTCTCTTCCAGGCCAACCTGGAGGGCACTGAGGTCGGCAAGAACAGCCCGCTCGAGGTTGCCTATGGTTCGCGTGTGACCTTGAAGAATATGGGCTACGGTGGTGGTCTCCTGCACTCCCACGTCCAGACCTACCCCGAGGGCTCTGGCCAGCAGCAAATCACCTGCTACCACCACAAGGATTCCAACAACGACTGGTTCTTCTACCCGACCCGCGAGGAGCCCAACTGGGAGAACGACGAGGAGCCCAAGTTCATTAGCGACAACACCGTCGTCCGCCTCATCCACGCCCAGACCGGCCGCAACTTGCACTCGCACGAGATTTCGGCTCCGGTCACCAAGGCCGACAAGGAAGTGTCCTGCTACGGCAACCTGACAGTTGGCGATGCTAAGGACTATTGGAAGATTGAGGTTCTTGACGACGTCGCATCGCGCGACCGGTCGAAGATCCGCACCCTGACGACCTCGTTCCGCCTGAAGCACACTGTCATGGGCTGCTACCTTCGCGCCGGCAACACCAACCTTCCCCAGTGGGGTTTCAGACAGATCGAGGTTACGTGCGCCAAGGACACCAGCCCGAGAGACACCTATACGCACTGGAATGTCGAGGCCCACTGGAACGAGAAGCTGCCTGCTGGCAACCCCGGCGTCTACAAGTCGCCGTTCCTTCGTGACTTTGTCCACCTGAACGTGGCTATGATGACGAGCAACAATGCTCTCGTTCCCGACCCGGACAAGCAGGACGACCTTGCCTCGCAGTGGTGGCAGTGGCCCATCCTTAACGTCGGTCTGCGTATGTGCGGCTGGGACGATAAGATCGTCAAGTACTTCCTGCTCGGCAACCCTCTTGTCTACTGGGGCTCGACGGCCGGCCTTGGTGTCTTTGCCGCTCTCGTTGCCTGGTACACCATCCGGTGGCAGCGTGGCTACACCGAGCTGTCCCAGGATGACATTGACCACATCCACTATGCCGGTATTTACCCGGTCATTGGCTGGTTCCTGCACTATCTGCCGTTCGTCATCATGGCTCGTGTCACTTATGTGCATCATTACTACCCGGCTCTGTACTTTGCGGTGCTCACGTTCGGCTTCCTGACCGACTGGTTCCTCAAGAACCGCATTGCGGCGATCCGCTACGCGGCGTTTGGTGTCCTCTACGCGGCCACGATCGGTCTCTACATCTACTTCATCCCCATCTGCTGGGGTATGGTCGGCCCCAACGCCCAGTACCGCTACATGAAGTGGTTCGACACCTGGAGAATCTCGGACTAAACGGATCACGTCGGTATCGAACCCCAGCACGCTCATCTTATTTATTATGCATCCCGGTCACAGCCAAATCAAGCAATGCCAGGCATACTCGGATTGTCTGAAACACATGAATCTTGTCCCTATGTTCAAGTGCGGCCTATGTTCAAGTGCGGTTACAGCTTATCGGCTTGTTCAATTAGGCGACTCGCTGAAGAAATAATGTCACGCCGGTATAAAGACGCACAAACACGAAAACCATCTGCTACCAAAAATGGAGACATGGATAGAGGATTAACACGTAGCTTTTAAAAAGAGACGGGGGCCTCGGGCGGGAGTTCTGGCTACATTTTTGGGATTATTTTTTTCGCGTAGGGGAAGGACGCATATTCTTCTCCTGCCTTCCAACTTTTCTTTTCCTTTATCGTCTCCCCTTTTCATTGAGCAAAAACAACAATGACGGACACACAACTCACACCCAGCACCTCTTACTGTTTACTATGTAATACAATATGATTTCATTTGTCGTTTCTTCTTTCCTTAGCTCCTGTTTTATGCCGTTTATTGCGAGCATATCGTTTTTTATTTGTTGGGTTTTTTTTAGAGAGCTTGTCGCACCCAAACAGCAGCGTCAAGTACAAAATTAACTACACATGACTCAGTACATCACACAGAGTGGCATATGCTTAGAATATAAAGTACCAGATTATAAGCGACAAGTATATGCGCAGCTTTAGCACCGAAATCTTTGATATTTGCTAAAGAGCCTATTGATAATAAAACCATGATATCGTAGTGGTACAAAACTTGTGTACAAAAGGGACAAAGTGTAAAATGTATTAAGGTCAATGCTTACAGAGCATGGAAAAGAGCAACGCTTGCATGAATATTACGATGGACTAGAAACATTCCCGTCAACAACAGCGGTTGGACTTGCCGTATGCGCCGTTGTCGAGACGCAGCGGCCGGCCCCCGCCTGCAGAGGCCGCCGCAGCCGCCGCCGCACCAGGTCCTTTGACACCCGACCGCCGGTCGTTGAGATCGTACCGCCCGGCCTGGATGTTGTGGTAAATGCGGTCGGCCACACGCAAAAAGGCGTGCTCCACGTTTTCGCCGCTCTTGGCACTCGTTTCCACGTATTCGAGCACGCCGTTGCGTCGGGCCCACTCTTCGGCCTCTTCGCGGGTCACCTGCCGCTGGTTCCCGTCGCCTTCGGCGGCCGAAGCGTCAGTCGACGCCAAATCGGCCTTGTTGCCCACGAGCACCACGACAATGTCCGGGTCGGCAATCTGGCGCAGGTCGTCGAGCCAGTCCTTGACGTGCAAGAATGTCTGCTTGCGCGAGAGGTCAAAGACGAGGAGCGCGCCGGAGGCGCCGCGAAAGTACGACCGGGTGACGGACTTGTACGTCTCCTGGCCGGCGGTGTCCCAGAGCGAGAGCTTCATGTGTTTTTGCGGCTCGGCAGGCTTGGCACGTGGCGGGTCGGGGAGGCCGCCATCGAGAGTGCTGGCTGATATTGTGGACGGGACGGGCCCGCCAGACGAGTTGAGAGAGTTGGGTGTGGATGTACCAGGTGTCGTTGCGGAGGAGGATGCAGTGGCCGCCGCTGCTGCTGCTGGCAGATACGCACGGCTATGGGGCGGCCCGACGGGCACAATGCGGCTGCCAAACTCGACGCCAATGGTGACGTCGTGGTGGGTGACAAAGCGGCCTTCGCAGAGGCGGATGGTCAAGCTGCTTTTACCACAGCCCGAGTCGCCGATGCACACGAGTTTGGCAATGTAGTCCCATTGCGGCGGTGGGGACGACGACATGGGGAGGTAGGACGACGAGGAGAGGAGGAGAAGAGTGTGTTGGTTGATCTTGGAGAGCTGAGAGAAGCTCGAGTTGGGATTCGGCGTAAGCTGCAGAAAGGCTGGGAACAACAGACGGCCGGTATCGCTGGAAAGGTAAGGGAATGTGGAGGATCTTCGCACAAAGAATGGGATGGAGTTGGTCAAAAGACGAAAACGAGAGTTGTTGGTTGCCAAGGGAAAGAGAATACACGTTAATAGAATGGTCAGGGGAGCAAAATGCGTTTGGAAACTGTTGGGAGAAGACGCCGTCGTCCCGTATCTTGGGATGGCAGAATTGGCAACTGGCAGGCGGCAGGCCGTCGCCTCTCACGTGGGCTCTAAGATGAAGCCGGCTCTCTCCCCATTGCTCGGGTGGGTCATGCTGGCAAGGTGGGTCGCCGCCTTACTTTCAGTGTGTCGCTCCTTCCCTTTCCTCCGCCGCTAGGAATGCCAGAATGCTGTCCGAATGACCCAGCGGTTTGCTAAAGTGGGGCCTGGCGTGTCTGGCGCTAGCTCTCTGGAGGCGCCGCATTTTGGTTGATTGATGTTTGATAACGCCAGCGGCCTGTGAAAGACGGCATCATTCTCGTTCTCTTTGTGTCATCCTCCCATTGTTCCGGGATCCAGATGTGGGCACGCTGGCAAGAGACACTCTCTGACACTCCCTTTTGCCTCTGATCTTATGGCTCTATGTCTCGGGTTGTGACCTCTGGCCCATATTTCGTTTCTTCTCCTTGCCCTCGTTCTTTTCAGTGCCAGAAAACGCTGCCTGCAGGCTGCCGTGCAAACCCAATAGGCAAAGCGAATGAACTGATAGAGGCACCTGGCGATATCCATGTATGTCCTATTAGGCACACGACAATTCACCAGCGGTGTAGTGGCTGATCCTCCGTCGCTCTTTCCTCCCGCGCAGAGTCATGGCCTGTGACTTCACTTTCAGCGCAATCCAGTAATGCTATCCACTGTATCGTAGGGGCCCCACAGCAGCCAGGCCGCAGCAGTGCCGTTGCACAAGTGCAGCTGGCACTGAGTCGGTCCAGAAGGAACAACGGCAACCACTCATTTCGCGGGTGGCGCTACTGCCGCCAGGGTTTCTCATGCTGTCTGCCTCATCTGGGGCCAGGCCGTCCACAATGAGCGGTGGCTGTCGATTGTGACTGCCTTTTCTTCTTTCCTTCTCGAGCCTCCTCGGTTCTGTCTCTCTTTCCGTTTTTACTCTTCCCGACCCCTTGGTATCTTTCTCTCAGTTCACTGTTATTTTGCACATTTCTATGCCTCGTTTTCTCCTTTCCAAGCTGCCAGCCTCTGACGCCTTTCCACGCAGCGTATCGCTCGCCACCACCGAAGCATTGTATCTAGAACCTCAAAGAACGGCCGGCCACCGCATCACTAGTACGGCCTCGCGCCAGGCCTACCACACTTCCGTCATCGGTGGCTGACTTGCCCTTCACTTCTGTGCGCCCTTGTTTCCAGCTTGCCAGTCCCCCATTTTCCCGACCTGCCCTTGGCCTCCTCGCACACGTCACTGCTTATTCCACGCGCAGTATTTCCGTTTAGCGATACCACTATTCTTACGCATCTGCTCCCCTCCTGGTGCTGAGGGCTCCTGCTGAGGCAGCTTCCCTTCTGAACCGCCACATACCGCAACTACACCACTTTTGTATCGCCTAATTCCAACAACCGTTGAAGCAGCACACTTTGCTGCAATAGTCTCGTGCATCTTTCACGTCGCAACCTACGTGACCTCACCATTCGACTTGGTCACAGGTCCTCTCGACTCTGTGTATGCCAATCACCGACATTATCTCTATAAGCCTCTCCTATCGCGCAACATCAACAGCTATTGAAACCTACGACCGATAACGAAAACCAACGACGCTCGAGTTTCGCCCACCGTAATTTACATCAGGGAAAAGCATCTGACACAAGATCAGGCTTCGGACGTTGGCGCTTTTCCCTGCAGGGGACGCTCTGGGGGAGGAAACGTCGCGATGTTTTCGGAATGTGAGTTGTCTCGGGGCGTTTCGGTAGTCTCGATAACGACCTACCACAAGAGAAAACGTCGGAAGCTTTGCCCTACGCAGTGACTAACTTGACGTCTCATCTATCAGATGCCTCTCGATTCCTGGCACAGTCCCAGTCACGACTGTCTAACTTCGGCCAAGCGGCCGGTGACGACACCGGCAGCAACACTGGTGGCGACACATCGAATCGGCAAGCAGGAGACTGGCCATCCCGCAACAACAGATCATATGGACGATCGTTTTTAGGTCGCGGATTCGGTGGTGGGGGTGGAGGCGGTACAGGAGCCTCGGGGAACCCATACCAGTCCTCTGGCTCACGGTTTGGCCAGCTCAACTTTGCCTCTCGGTACTCGACCGCGGCCCAGGATGCGCCTCTGTTTCACGAGGTGGAGGAGGAGGAGGAAGGCGTTGATGACGACGATGAGGTCGAGCGTGACAGAGAGGCTGCTGATCTGTATGCACTTCAGCGGTCACGACGGGTGTTCGCAGCCAGCCGGTTAGAAGAAAGCACAGGTACAGACAACGAGCTGAGTAACGCGTCACTGCGTGACAGCAAAGACGACGACGGCCGCCATCGATTGAGCAACAGCGGACGGAGAACCAGGGCAGCAGCAACCAGTAACGCACAAGACGGCGACGATGCCTTTATGTCAAACAAAACGAAGGGAGTCCGCGAGTCCAGGATACAAAGCAGCTGGAACGAGAATCGGACCTTCCACCGGCCAGGACGCGATGCCACGGCAAACGAGGAGGATTCCGGCGGCTACAATCCCGACCTCCAGGAGAGCCGCGGTAAGATGGTGGATATCGGACTGGAATCGACGATTGCAGAGAGCGAACCTCCCTTGGATCTGACTGTCGAAGCTCCCCGCGAAGACGACGACAATCCGGTACCAGCGTTTCAAAAGTTTGCAGCAGCCAAGGGCTCCGGTCGCTTTGGCTTCCGTCGGGGCTCAACGAACGAGTCCGAGCTGGGCCTTTTGCGAGACGGCGCTGGTGGTGGTGCCGACAGCGAGGCCAATTTCGGCCCTGGAGATCCTGTTAGCAGTAGCGTCTTGCAGCAGGCGGTCACAGGAGGTGCGCCCTCGTCCGACATGGAGCTGTTCCGGCACGACCCATTCTTTGCCTGGATCTACCTCATTGCCCTGGCGTCTCTATTCGCGACGTTTGTCCTCGTCTACTTACATACCTCGGGTCCTACGGGCGGCGAGAAGCAACCGTGGGGCGACACCATCTACACGACACTGCTCTCGTCAATTCACCTCCTGGCCGTTGACACCCTCGTTGCCGTCATCGTCTCCCTCGTATGGCTCGCCGCCCTCCGATCGTTCGCCCGCTACATGGTCGGCCTCATTATTGTTGCCGTCCCCGTGATCCTCATCGCCTTCAGCATATACCCTCTTGTGTCCAGCTACCAAGGCGCCAAGACGGGAAGCTCCGGTTTTCAGGACACAGTCATGCGTTGGGCGTCGATTGTGCCTGGTGTATCCGCAGTTGTCTGGCTGTATCTTGTGTGGAAGGGCCGGTCGGCTCTGCGGTCGTCCATTGACATTCTTGAGTTTTCCAGCCGCATCCTGGCGGCCAACTCTGCTCTTGTTCTTGTCGGCATGGGCTGCCTCATGCTTATTGTCTTCTGGACGTGGGCGTGGCTGGCCATGTTTACGCGGGTCTTCCTGGGCGGCTCCTTCTCCAGCAAGCTGTCTCGGTTCATCATCAGCACGTCGAGCTGGTGGCTTGGTGTTTACTTTGTGCTCATGTACATCTGGACCCTGTCTGTCATCTCGGGCGTGCAGCGTGCTACCACGGGTGCCACCGTGTCCCAGTGGTACTTCCATCGCAATGTGCAGCCTGCGCCGTCCTCCAACGAAGTCGTGTCGGCGGCCCTCCACCACGCGATGACGACCATCTTCGGCTCCATCTGCCTGTCGACGTTGCTCGCCCTCGCCGTTCGGCTCCCTCTCCTCGTGCTCCCGGTCCGGCTCGCAAACGGTCTCGGCCTATTCTTCTATTCGTTCATCCCGACGCCCATCGCCGCACTCACGAACCCCCTTACGCTTACCTATGGTGCCATCCACTCCCAAAACCTGACCGCGGCGTCGCAGGGACTTACCCAGCTAGCGTTCCTGTCACCCGAGGCACCCACCACCACTCTGACGCCGCGCATGTTCCAGGCTCGGCAACGCCGTAAGAGGTATGGCGGAGTCGGTTCGACGGCGCCACTGCTCCCCTACCGGCTGGCCAAGCTTCTGCTGCATGCCACGCGCTTCATTATGGCGACGGCTCTCGGCTTTGCCGGCTGGGTCATTACGGCGCGGCAGCTGCGCGTTGCGCTTCCCGACGGTGCCGGCGGCAGTGTCCGGGGCAGTGCGTATGCCTACGTGGTCGGCTTGGTCGCCAGTTTTATCGGCTGGGGCGTCCTCGGCGCCATGGAGGGCATTCTGAGTGGTATTGTGGATGCCGTGGTGATTTGCTACGGCAGCGAGACGCGCATGTCGAACAATGCCGGTGTTGGCGCCGGTGGCGGCGGCTACTGCATGGAGGCGGCGTACTTGTTTGGCGGCCGCGGCGACGGGGGTGTAGAAGAGGACGACTTCCACCGCACCAACCGCGAAGTGTATTAGACTAGGTGAATGGGTGTGCATTCGCGGTCTTGACTCTTCCTTTTTTTTTGTTTTCTTTTGTTTTTATTCTTTCGTCACTATATGCGCTGGCAGTTTCGGGGGCAGCATTAAGCTGGTGTTGGCCTATTGTTTATTTTGCTTTCCTTTTGGTTTTTGGTATAGCATACCTTGTTTATTATACGTTTGGTATTAGTTTTCATATGCTTCGGTCCCATAGTCAGTCAGGCTTGTGAGGCTAAAAAGGTTTCGATGAAAGTCATTAAATCATGCTCCCATGTGCTTTCTTTCGTTTTCCTTCCCGTTTCTCTCGTTTTTCTCTCAAGAGACTACTCATATAAACTTATTCTATTGAAGTTCCGTAGACTTAACCGGGTACCAAGGTTTCAATTATTTCTCATGATGGTTTCTCAGCCACGTCTCTCGACTCCACTTACGCCCTCAGGTCATCCCGAATGCCTGGATATAGCCAACGGCATGCCAAAGCCAAGCACATATAAGCATTTTTGTGTTTATTGTAAGTTGTACCTCGTTCAGTGGCCATATCTGTCTGCATCGAGTGATCCGAAAGCCGCGTGGCCATAGCTTGGCAATGTCAAACGGAGCGCTCCACAACAAAAGCATGCCAGATGTGACTGAGAGCTCATTGTGTCGAAATAACCGTAAATGTAGTCGAAAGCGTGTCTATTCAGAGGCGAAACGAATGACAAAAGATATATGTACACGACAGACGGCTGCCTCCCGACCATCCCCACACTAGGACAAGCGAGGCGCAGCAGATGGCGTTGTATTATTCCATACCCACGTAATTACCATACACGTACATTCGTACGCCGTGGGCCGCAGGCCACAGCGGAAAGCCTGGACGGACAACAGTATCCTCTGAGAGTGATCCCAACTCACTTCACATCTCTTCAGAGCTCCAAGACTCGAGCCAAGTCATTGATGAAGCCGTTTTCCAGCCAAATGGGACAGTCCGCAATCTCTTGGCGAAGACGCAACCCCCCCTCCTGGTCGTTTTTGTTTGGGTCTATCTTTGCAGCGTGAAATAAAATAAACCCCTCTCTTTTTCGATAGTTGTACTGTCTTTATTTTGCCATTTTCCTCCGTTTCTGGAATCTCATTCCTTGCGGTTACAGCAAGGGCCGCTCCATTCGCCAAAGAGAAGCCACAGTACCGTCCAATGAAGCAAGTAGTCGCCAGAGGCAACGTTCTACGCCTCCATGACATAAATACGGCGTATTTGAATGGCAAACCCATCCCAAAGGTCGATCGGGGAATACAGTGGACAATGTACTACAACGTAGCGGACGATGTACGAAATATTACTCCATAATTAGTGGGACCTTCTGTATTCACAAGGAAACTGTCGCTGCCCCTCACTCTGCGACTTTGCTCAGACACTTTGGAGTACTAAGCGGGAGGCCGTCGGCTCTTTGCCCCTCCTCGGGTGCCTCGTTCACTCTTTCCTGCTGACTTCTGCCCTCCTGCTCCAGCGTCATGAACACGCCAAAGCCCCCGCAAAGAGTAGGTTCTGTACTCGCCTTTGGTAGTGTACTGAAAAGAGGAAGCAGCAAACAATGTGTTTCCACAACCTTCCTTTGTATACTTCTAATAGGCAACTTCCCCAGCATCAAATGAGATACCGTACCTGCCTTCGGTTCAGATGAAACTAGGTGAACTAGGCCCTGCTCGGCACCAGCTGCAGTGTCTCATGCTTTAGGCGATCCCCTCCTTCTCCCGCCGATTCGCGCTTCATGTCCTAGTTGCCAAACCTTATACAAGCCCTGTATACCCTGCTTTTAGCGCTCTGTCGAAGATCTGACAGCAAGCCAACCCACCTCTGCTTCCTCGTCCCGGTTGCGCTTTCCCTCTAATGCTTTCCGTATAACTACCCGTTTTCCCCAACCATCGTCATCACCGCCTTCTTTCCTGATTTCTTTACTTTCTCCTCTTCTCTTCCTTTGCCCCTTTATTTCCTTCCCCGGCCCCAAGAGCTTCTTCGAGCTTACTTTTCTACCGTCTTCAAGTATCCGTGACATACCGTCGATTGCTCTTGATATGGCGGACTTCGACGCCCCGAGTGGGCCTCCGCCGCCAAAAGTACCTGACGGCTGGGTCGTCCGATGGAACGACCAATATAAAGAATGGTAGGGTCACCAGTTCTCTTCTAGGAATAGTGCCGCACAGCGACGCGTTTGCGCCAGTTCGCTAAAGCTGATTCATCGCAACAGGTTCTATGTCAATACGGTCACCAAAAAGTCCCAGTGGGATAAGCCCACCGCGCCCGCGACGGCTGGCGGCGACGAACCAGACGGACCTCCTCCCAGTTACTCTGCCGGCTCCGGTCCCGCCCCGTCAGACTCCAAGAAGAACCCCTTCCTTAGCCACGACAGCGACGGCGACCGGAAAGACCGCCGCTCGCCGGTTGGCCAGGAGGCCGAAGACGAGCGTCTGGCGCGCCAGCTCCAGCAGGAAGAGAACCAGCGCGCTGTGGCCGGCGGCGGCAGCCCGAACCTGTCCACCGCTGGCCCCGGTGGCAGTGTCAGCGGCGGTGACGGCCCCTCGGGCCAACGCGGTCTGCTTGGCAAGCTCTTCAACAAGAACAAGACGTCATCCTCAAATTACGGCGGCAACAACAACGGCGGCGGCGGCTACCCCGGCGAGGGCTACGGGCCCACCGGCTATGCCAACACGCCACCCCCTCCGCAACAGGGCTACGGCGGCGGATACGGCGGATATGGCGGAGGCCCCGGATATGGTGCCCCACAAGGCGGCTACTATGGCGGCGGCCCGCCTCAAGGTTACTATGGTGGCCCGCCGCAGGGCTACTACGGTGGTCCGCCGCAAGGCTACTACGGCGGCGGTGGCTACCCGCAGCAGCAGAGACCGCAGCGCCAGGGCTTAGGCACAGCCGGTGCTGCCGCGCTCGGTGTTGGTGGTGGTCTGTTGGGCGGCATGCTGCTGGGCGAGGCGATTGATGGCGGCGACGGTGGAGACGGTGGCGGAGACGATGGTGGAGGCGACGACGGTGGCGGAGACTTTTAAGACTGTGTAGCTTGGGGGCGACAACAGCACCTGTTGCCGTGACGTGATAATGGCAAGAGGGGTTTTGGAGAGCCAGGATCGTGGTCCATAATGACACGGCAGAGGAGGATGCGATGCGAACCATGCATGATACAGTTGTTCAAGTTCATTTATGCCCACCCCTTGCAGACGATCAGTCTCCATGATATGTTTTTATGATATAGTTACCAATTGCATTTTTTTTCCTTCTCATCATTATGTGTTGTTTACCCGCCTGCAAGAAAACTATTCTAATCTATCTCACCTCGTATGCAAGACATACGACATCCCAAAGTAAGTGGAAACTGCTGCGGGCCCCCGTGTCTTCTCATTTTATTTCCGAGGAGCACCGCCACCTCCCGGCTTCTTGTCGCTCTTGCCGCTGCCAGCCAAAAAGGCCGCCATGTCAAAGTTGGCGCCGGGGGGAGCCTGACGGCCGCCACCGCCGCCGCCGCCCAGAAGGCTGTTCATCGGGTTCGACTTTTGCCGCTCCTCAAACTCGGCGCGCATCTCAGGGTCCACTGTTGGATTCTGTTAGTATACGGCGCGTCAATCGTATGACTGGGGCGGAGGAAACCTACTCTGGTCCATCATGTACGGCATGCCGACCATCATGACCAGCGCCACAATCGCCATCAGAATCATCGGGTTTTTGAGCAGGCTCAGAACGTCAAACGAGCTGCGCTCCGAGTAGTACGACTTGGTCTGCAGCACGGTCGGTGCCACGAGGAACGTCGGGCCCGTGTTGGTCAGAGCCACGCCGTCGTGGGCGCCGGCGCCTCCCACCTTGACCGGCAGCACCCGCTGCACCACCTCGCCCTGGTTCGCCCAGTCGTTGCCCCGGTACGTCTCGGTGATGCGCGTCACCAGCAGGCGGGAGTCGGCCTTGGCAGCGCCTGTCGCGGCCGGGTCGGCCTCCTCTTCGACGTCCACCCGCAGCGGGCTAAAGATGTGCGTCGCGCAGTGTACCTCGCCCAAGTAGGAGCCGGCCGTCACGTTGCTAAAGACAAGCTTGCCGCCCGCCGTAATGGGCGCTGACACGTACTGGCGGCCATCGCCGGACTCAAGCGTGGCACGCGTCCAGCCGGGGATGCTCGACAGCAGCGCAACGGCAGCCGACTCCTTTTCTTGTTCTTGGACGCGGCTCGGCACGCCGATCTGGAAGGTAATGGAGGTAGACGGCGGAGGCGAGACGGCGGAAGAGGCGGAAGCGACAGCCGTCGTTGCAGCTACGAGCAGCTGAACCAGCGAAAGGGTTGAGAACGGTCGCATGGTGTCGGTTTGTTGTGCAATGGGAGGGAGGGCGTCGACAGAGAGGGAGGCGTTGATGTCGATGGATGTCCGTGACTATTCCAAAAGACATCAATTGGGAAAAGGAGAGCTTGTTCGATAGTGGCCCCTTGTTTAATGCTTACGTACTTTCTGTGTGGGGTGAGGCAACCACTGAAAGTAGCCTGTAATTACAGCACTTGAATCACTATAGCGTACACGAAACAAATGAACGCTTTGTTTGCTTCACTCTGGCAGTTGCGTCATATTAAACCCGTCGTTCTCAGCACCCAGATGGCTCACATTGTCCCAAGTTCTCCATCATTCCTAATGGAAGGGGGTATTTCTTCAAGATTTCATCTAACGGCAAACAAAGTCATAACCTAATAGCGCTGGCATGAATATTCCATCCCCTCAGCATGGCGATAAAACTCTCCCAAATACAAGCATTGGCCCGCTCTTCTTTGCACCTTTTTATATACGGCCCAAGTCTGGCTTGTCATGTGCCTTATGCTGACGCCTCAGCAGGGGCGCCAGACGCCTTCTTGAAGGCCTGCTCAAAGTCGGCAATAATGTCGTCAATGTGCTCGGTACCGACCGAGATGCGGATCAGGTCCTCAGTGACGCCCGAGGCGACGCGCTCCTTCTCCGACAGCTGCTCGTGCGTGGTGGTCCAAGGGTGGATGGCCAGGGTCTTGGAGTCGCCGACGTTGGCCAGGTTGGACACCAGCTTCAGGTTGTCGACAACGGCACTGCCGTCCTTGGCAGCCGAAGCCTTGACACCGAAGCTCAGCACACCACCGTTACCGCGCTTCAGGTACTTCGTGGCCAGCGCATGCGACGGGTGGCTCGCCAGGCCAGGGTACGAGACCCAGCTGACGTAGGGGCTCTTCTCAAGGTGCTCGGCCAGCTTCTGGGCGTTGTAGGCGTGGCGCTCGGCGCGCAGGCTCAGGGTCTCGATACCGAGGATCAGCTGCTGGGCAGCAAAGGGGTTCAGGGCCGGGCCGAAGTCGCGCAGCAGCTCAACGCGGACACGAATAGCAAACGAGATGGGGCCAAACGTCTCCCAGAACTTGAGGCCGTGGTAGCCCTCCGAAGGCTCGACGAACTGGGGGAAGCGATCGCCGTGCTTGCCCCAGTCAAACTTGCCGCTGTCAACGACAATTCCGCCAATGGTGGTGCCGTGGCCGCCGATCCACTTGGTGGCCGAGTGCAAGACAATGTCGGCACCGTGGTCAATGGGGCGCACAAAGTAGCCGCCGGCGCCAAAGGTGTTGTCGACAACGACGGGGACGCCCTTGGCGTGGGCCAGCTCGGCAATCTTCTCAAAATCGGGCACGTTGTAGCGGGGGTTGCCGATGCTCTCAATGTACACGGCCTTGGTCTTGTCATCAATGGCGGCGGCCAAGTCCTCGGGGCTGTCTCCCGTCACGAACTTGGTCTGGATGCCCAGGCGCCCGAAGGCGACCTTGAACTGGTTGTATGTGCCGCCGTATAGGTTGGAGGTGGAGACAATGTTGTCGCCGGAATGCGCCAGAGCGGCAATGGCCAGGAACTGGGCAGCCTGGCCGGAAGAGGCAGCCACGGCCGCGACACCGCCCTCAAGAGCAGCAATGCGCTTCTCGAAGACATCGACAGTCGGCTGTGCACGAGGGAGTATGTTAGCAAGCGCATGTTGTCGAGATATTCCGTGAGACCGAGCACTCCTCCAGACGACCAAAGACTCACGTTCATGATACGGCTGTAGATGTTGCCGAACTCCTTCAGGCCGAACAGCCGCGCACCGTGGGCCGAGTCATTGAAGACGTAGCTCTACCGGGAAGCAGAAGAGTTAGCTTGTAAGCCATTACGGCCGGCAAAAACCACCCGAGAGTTCCTGATGCTCGAGGCCTACCGTGGTGGCATAAATGGGCACAGCGCGCGAGTTGGTGGCCGGATCGGGCTCCTGGCCAGCATGCAGCTGGAGGGTCTCGAAGTGCTGCGACAGGTTCTCAGGCATCGTGAATGCGGGGTGGAGGGAGGTAGGCCGAAGAGGTGTCTTGGGGTGGTGGTGGAATCAAAGGTGGTGTTGGAGAGAGGAGGTGGACGAAGAAAGAGAAGAGGAAGAGAAAAGGATCTCTAAAATGTTTGGGGAAGGAAAGCTCTTTAGATTCCTTTCTTTCCTTTTCCCGCGAGTCTAAACAAAACATCCTCTGCCCATTGTGACTTCCTTTCCTCCCTCACAACCTCAGTCGCTCTTTCCCCATCCCCCTCCCCCTCTTTTTGGCACCTGTGTGTCCGCTAACGATGACCTAAGATTTCATCTTACGTTGTGCCTTTTCGGGCCAACAAAGTGCTGGCTTGCCCTGTCGCATCCCGCTTCGCCTTTTCTCTATTTTGCTGCCGTCGTTCGATTTTGCTGGCGTTTTTAGAAGTGATTTGGACTAGCAAGGTGAGTTGCGACGTCTTGTCTTTCCTAGTGCATTGCCTATTTTGGACAGCACGAGTGGGGTGACGGCAAGCACGCAATCGCAAAGCCGCGCCTCGCCGCCAATAAGAGACAGGATTTTCAACTCTTTGTGGAGTTTGGACACTCGACAGGCAGGAGCTCGCCAGATCAAAGTGCCTCAAAACCACCCAAATGCACCCAATAGTGGGCAGGAACGATGGACTTGCTAGGACCACATAGCGAACCACGACAGAAGGATGAGCAGAATTGCGGAAGACGGGGCTGATGTTTCGCCATTTTGACAACAGGTTGTCCTGTCTTGGGTGCATCTTGCACTTCAATTTCGCTTGTTATGCATTTATTTGTCTGCTGGCCTGCGATCGGCGCCCAGACAAAAGTGCGGCTATTCGATGTTCGGTCACGAAATTCGATGCTAGCCCAACGCCGCGGCGCGCCTTCCCCGTCCTCCATGCTACGGCTGTCGGCCGACCAGACCACAATCGCCGACCTAAATCGCACCTTCTCTTTTTGAAAACCTGCAATTATCCCGACTACAGATGCCTGTTGCTCGCACTTTCCTCCATTGTCGTCCAAAGTCAAGCAATTGCGACATTGAGTGCCTTCTTGCTTGGTGCACTTCTCTTCTTACACCATAATCACGGGTCGGCATGAGCCCTGCTAGCACCTGCGGAACGAACCTCCAAGAAGAACAAATATCGCAGTGCCGCACATCGTACTATGCCTCACACGTGTCAATGCTGGTAAGCCAGGGCAGGGCGCCGTTAGCAGAGAATCTGCCCGACCGTGTCTGTTTCGCGAAGTAGGTAAATATAAGAAACGAAGACGAACAAACTACTCCGGTCATGTTGCCCATTTGGAGATGTCCTACGATGCAGCAAACCGAAGACATCTTCCCCTCCATTGCCAATGTGTCCCCTCCTTCACTTACACGTAAATTCCACAGCTAGCGGTGCCGATCCCGGGCTTGGCTGGCTTAGAGCTCGTCGACTGTAAGTCATAGTTTGACCCGGACCCTGGACAGCCGGAAGGCTCCATTCAGGTTGCGCCAGCTCCCCCTGCATCGATTCAATGTGTACGACATATTTTCAACCAGGTGCCGTCAGCGGCTGGCCAATCGAGATGGGCATCTTGACTAGGCGATCTACGTAAGCGTGTGCGGAAGTGCCTTCATTGTTGTCAAAGTTGTATATTGTATAAAACGTCCAAATGTAAAGAGTCACATAACCACAAACCCAACCAAAATGGGGACATGATGAAACGATTGTATGCAACAATGACGAAACAAAATTCCTTTAACCGTCGCGCCAGACCAATTCCCTTCTCTCCGTAAGAACATATGAAAATGTCAAGTTTAAACAGTAGGTGTAAAGAAATAAAGAAAACGTGAAAGTGAGTGGTGGAAAGAGAAACTGAGAGAACCTATCTCACCCTCATCAAAGGCTGAGACATCATCTCGACGCCTTTTTCCATGCACAAATGTCGTCCCAGCCGAGCCCCAAACCCAGCACAGCTGTGGTCTTTGCAACCGAGCCCGTTTGGTTGTTGTTTTTTGGCCGGGTCTGCGCCGCCCGAGTTGTGAACCGGTCCCATCCTCGCTCTCTTCAGACAGCCCCTAGCCGCTACCAAATACGAAGGGTCGGTCGTCTTTACAATATGTCGTCGATCTTGAGGGGACGAGAGCCATTGAGAGCGCCGGAAAGCTACCGGTATATCGGATGTCCCGATTGCTTATGCCCGGCTCGCGGCATCCTTCATCTCGGCGGCGTACATGCCTTGGGTACGCGGGTTCGGCTTGCGGGCACCGCCGCGGAACTTGGCGAGGGCCATCAGCACGGCACTGGACGTCCAGGCACCGAACGAGAGCGCCGAAAAGGCCGTGGCGGCACGGGCCGAACCGCAGACGTTGCCGCGGCAAAAGAGCAGGCCGTTGAGGAAGACGGCGAGGGCAATGAAACCGCCAAAGTATAGCACGCTGTTGAGGGCATCGATGCCAATGGCCACGTACGGCATGTAGGCGCGGGGGGCAAAGCGCGAGACGCCCTCGTTGTAGGCCAGCGATAGGATTGAGATGACCGGTACGGCGACAAGGAAGTTAACCTGCGTGGGCGAGGCAGTCCGGGTGTCCATGGTGTACCAGTTGACGACTGAGAGAAGGGTAGTTAGTAAACTTTGATACGCGTATCCCGCGTTCTATTATGAAATATGCCTTCCGTCGTACAACCACAGCCATCACGACCATTCTCCTTTATAAAGAAGATTCTTCTGTCTTGGAACATATCTCCGTGGTTTTTGTATTATTTCCCCCGGATGTTGTATTATTTCCCCCGGATGTTGTATTATTTCCCCCGGATGTTGTATTATTTCCCCCGGATGTTGTATTATTTCCCCCGGATGACAACGTACCATAAGCGGAAAGACCGAGAACAATCAGAGAAAAGATGAGCTGCTGCGCGCGCAGGATGAGGACCCAGTTGAAAGCCATTGCGATAAGTGGTCGATATTTCGGTGGTGAATAAACGGTGGTGGAAGTTAAATGATATTTAAGGAGAGTCGAGAAATAAAAGACCGGCTTTTGATAAATAACAAAGTGCAACTGGTGCGCTGAAAGAGAGAAATGTAGAGAATAAATGAAGGCGTTGTCGAAATAAAAACCAAAATAGAGAGATCACAAGATCAAAAAGAGAAAGAAAAAGTACAGGAAAGAGTAAAGAAAAAAGGAAAGAAAGCAGAATGAGAATGAGGGATGGGCGACGCGGGGGAGAAAGAATAGAAAAGAACAAATGGGGAGGGCAAAGAAGCCGGGACAGAAAGACGGGATGTTGGCGGTGTCGGGGCAAGACCATCAAAACTGAGGCGTCCGCGGTCGATTGTCATGCGTTCAAAGTACCAAGATAAAGGAGAAACATGCCAGGGCTAGGACCAGACGAGGGATACTAAAACAGAATTACAAAATAAACACCCAGATACCACAACGGGGTGGGATTCGTGTGGTACGCGGCCGTGGAGTTCCCTGTCTTCTTCTCCCGTCGCTGAATTCTCTTGCTTCAGCGTACATATACAAGAACTAGCATTCTCACTCCCACAACCTGATACACGAGAGGGATTTCTCACTCGCCTGCAGTTCGAGAAAGTGAATCTCTCAAAACCCTTCCAGGGACACTTCTGGTAGCATCTCGTTCCCAAACTGCTGCTCGCATGCGGCGACGTTTGCCCTAGAATACTACTGTGCTTTGAATGCCGTACGTCGTATCCGCGCTCTGCACGGAGTACACCTTGTCATATGACTGTGCATCCGAATTTGGCCCCTCTCGTCCCTCACCAAAATGAGAAATGCTCTCAAATTAATTCACCAGTTTCAACCCTCTGCTCGCACTCTATCCTCTGCAAACTCAGTAATCTGCCTTGATCTACTTCGCCACATACTTTCATCCGGACGTGAGAAATAGAGAGGCCAAGGCAGGGGGCTCCAGATCGTCATCATGCGGCCACGCGATCTGAAGCCGACCTGAAACGCGAGGTCAGAGCCCACTCGGCAAGTTTTGGAACACGGCAGCCGCGCTTTGCAACAGTGATTGGAGGAGACAAAATTGGAGGAAAAGCTGCTCCGAAAAAGGTATACAATCTTGTGGCAAGCAAAATATAAAAATAAAAATAAAATAAAATAAAACCTTTCGTCATGACCGTGGTGATTGATTGAACATCTATTGAACCGATCACGTGATATCGATTTCACGAATTGCGACGGTGACTGACAGCCCTCCTTTCATTCGATTTGAGAAAGCCCTTGGCCAACGTTCTGTAGACCAAAAAGAAAAGCACAATGTTCTTCCGAATCTCTGACCCTCGTCATGGTAAGGCCCTTTGGTCCCCAAGACGCTCTGAAATGAAACAACGCAGAGCATCAGGCACCGTAGGCCCTGTGCTTGGTTCACTTGATTACCGGTCTCGTGCCAAGATGAAGGAAGGCGAAATAAGAACAAAAGAACGATGGCAAACCGGCGGTCGCGGCCTCAGACGTGCTCTTGCCGTATCTTGCGCCACAGCACAAAACGCCCAGAAGCTTCAGGGCAGGTCTTGGCCACTTGGCTGTTTCCTGTTGCCAGAGCCTTGCTCCACCAGGTTCCAGACTCGGATCTCAAAACTCAAAACTCAGATCTCTGCAACGATACGATGCTTGCAATAGGCTGGGGAATCAGAACACAAAGGAGTAACGAAACTTTCCTGTAAAGCGATCACCAGTTGCCGATTTATCTTCCGGTCATGACATGGCTGAGAAAACAGACAAGAAACGAGGCCGAGTGGCCAAGATGAACCCAAACAGCGGCCAGTGCGGCTTTGCACGGCACAAACAGTCTCCTCTGGCAGGCCGTTACGTACCCGACTTGGCCAAAACGTTACAAACGTCTTGGTCCTCTTCGAATTTGTTGCGAGGCCGGGAAGTTGAAAAGAGCATCTCGGGAGAAGAGAATGGTACATAGAGCTTGAAAACAATATAAAAGACGGCAAAGAAGCAAGGAATCAAGGTTCTGGGAATTGGGGAAGCAGAAAAGCAGGAGATATAAAACAAACAGAAGTCGGCTACGGAGATTTGGCCAACGTCTGGCACGTGTCTCATCACATGACAAAAGAACATGGAAATTCCGCTGTTTAATCAGAGTGCTGACAGGCGGACTGTCCTTCCAAGATGTGAATGACAGTGCGGTACTTGGCAATTGAGAAGCGAATTGCGGCAAGACACGACGCACGGCATGACTGTATCTTCACACTTCATTCGCTCAAGCCATAACAGTCCTTTTTGTTGGCTAAGTTCGTCCCGTCGAAAGATCATGATGAAGTTGTCTCGCTCTGTGCCTCGCAAGACGTGGAGCGCGTCTTGTCGGTCGGTTTGTATGTCGTATAACATACGTCATTGAGATTACTGGAACGTTTTCTTTCACATCTGTCTCTTTGTATACGGACCTGCGGAGAAAGGGTACGTGACCATTTGGGCATGGTTTGTTAACAGGCACGACTAGCTGCATATTCTGTACTCTGTGCCTTTCTCTCAGGCATTCACATGTCACCCACCAACCAATCTGCAGGGTCACAATGAGATGGATCCACATTGAGAGTCGCCGTATCTGGAATTGGGCGAACACATGCACTAGCACCGCTTTAGGCCAGATCTCCGCCACCAACAGCCTGGGGTAAGGTCTGGTGGTTTCCGCACATGCACTCTCCGCACTCCAAAGGCCTGTAGAAAAAGATTTTACGAGATTTGAAAAGGACCGCTCAGGGATTTAGACAACGTACAAAAGCCCGAAAGCGCGAGAGTTTGGGGACCGTCGCCGTTTTCGAGAACGGAGACGAGGGTCGTCCCTCGTTCCTCCCCTCCGAATTCTCCAGACATTCTCGGCAGGTGGCAACAAGGAAGACAGGATTGCGGCGACAGGCAAGAGCGAGGGACGGGTATCTGGAAAAGAGGAATCGCCGACGGACTCCATGTCAGTGAGCCAGTCAGAATCGACAGAATGCAGCGCAAGGCGGACCACTGTGGAGCAACATGTATCTTACTTGTATTGTCGCCTGTAGCGACACTAGCTGCGCAACCCCAGGTGCCGAGGGCCTCGGAATCCTCTACTGTGTACACGATCTCGCCGCCCCTTTTCTTCCCCCAAAAAATTGGAGAAACCAATCTCGACAGTGCCCAAAGCCTTCAAAATGGCACGCACAATTGTCTCCGGTGGCCGAGTCTTTTTTGTGTGGACTGTTGCGTTGTTTTCGTTTCCCGGGTCGGTCTCGGTGATTTTTGCGAATATTTATTATGGGCATCCTCGGTCTGTCCAACCAACAACACGGCAGGAAGAGACAGCAACTAGAGCTCGCAAGAGCAGACTCGACTCGTGCAGGACCCGGCGCCCTGGATCGTGCCGCTGCTGAGTAGTGGTTGCCACACTCAATCCACAACCCGTCACCACGAACCAGGTCCAGCACTCCCGCTTACAGTTCTTGGCTTGGTTGTCTCTTGTCTCGCTCGTGGACTCCTCAAATTTCGTATTGTAAGATAATTCTCCCGCGACCTGGGGCAACGAAGGCGATAGAGCGGTGGAAGTAGGAAGCAAACAGTGGTGTTCAGTTTTAAACGACGTGGGGAAAGCGAGGCATGAAAGCTAGCTGTGAATTTCCAAATGTCGTTACGCCCCGAGCCCCCGGACCTGTCAGTGGCTACTTCCTCCTTTTTTGACTTGTGCGTCGATTGCTCCTTCTTGCAAACGATTTGGCTTGTGCCTCTAGCTCCTTCCTGTCTACTCCGTACTTCTCCGCCTTCCCCCTCAGTTTCTGGGCACTCCACTTTGCCTTCATAGTCTCCTCCTCCTCCCTTTTGCTTCCTCTTCTTTTTTCTCTCTTTTAATTCTTAGTTTCCTTTCTTCTCCTCCCCTTTCTCCGGACCATCACCTTGTTCTGCTGCGACCAAACCACCCTCAATCTTTTGTCGCTCGCACGTCTTCCTTCTTTTTGCTCTTGTTCTCCCCTCACGCTCACGGCACCTCCACAGCCGTGCATAACCTCCCGCGTCTTGTCCGTCAGCAAAACTTCAGCCTCGCGCTCTCTCCACACCGTCTCACGTACCATCTCACTTCTTTTTCTTTCCGCCGTGTAATCAAACGATAACGCCGCCATGTCTCCTTCAGACGTCGCTGCCGCGATCGCGAAGCTCTCGCCGCCCCCACCTCCCGGCGCCCCGTACGCCGTCCCTGTCCCCAACAGCGCCACGCCCAACCGCTCGCCTGTGTACAGAAACTGGCGCTTCCGCGACTCGCCACTGCTCGAGACCCTCGACGCCAGCGTCGAGACCTTGCACGATGCCTTTGAGGAGTCCGTCAAGTACCGTGGCAACAAGCAGTTCCTTGGTTGGCGTCCGTGGAACCCGGCCACCAAGACATACGAGGATAAATTCGTCTGGATGACGTACAACGAAGCTGCGGAGCGCCGCAAGAACCTCGGTGCCGGTCTGGTCGAGATCCACAAGACGGCTGGCGTCACGGCCGACAAGTACCCCGTGGGCATCTGGTGCCAGAACCGCCCCGAGTGGCAGCTCACAGACCTTGCTGCCATGTCCCAAAGCCTGTTTAACGTGTCGCTCTACGACACCCTTGGCCCCGACACGAGCCAGTACATTATCAACCACTGCGAGCTCAACTGCATCGTCGCCTCGCTGACCCACATCCCTGCCCTGCTGAAGCTCGCGCCCCGTGTCCCGTCACTCAAGATTATTGTGTCGATCGACGCGCTCGACGCCGGCGAGCCCGCGGGCCTCTCCAAGGGCGCCCTGCTCGCCAACATGGCCAGCGAGCACGGCATCAAGATCTACTCGTTGGCCGAGGTGGAGGAGATCGGCCTCCGCTCGGGCCGCGCCATGCGCCCGCCCACCAAGAATGACACGACCACCATCAACTACACCTCTGGCACGACCGGCGACCCCAAGGGCGTGGTGCTGACGCACCGCAGCATGCTGGCGGCCATTTCGTGCTCGCGCGCCTCGGGCTTCATGTCCCCCAACGACACGCACATCTCGTACCTGCCGCTTGCGCATATTTACGGCCGCATGTGCGACTGGTCTGCGATTGCCATGGGCGCCCGCATTGGCTACTTCCGCGGCGACATTACCGGTCTTGTGGACGACATGAAGCTGCTGCGGCCCACGGGCTTGTTCTCGGTGCCCCGCCTGTACAACAAGTTCAACTCGGCGATCCGCACTGCGACGGTCGAGGCGGAGGGCTTCCGGGGTGCGCTCTCGCGGCGTGCCGTCGATGCCAAGCTGGCCAACATGCGCCTGCCGCCCGGCAAGGCCACAAACTACCACGCGCTGTACGACCGCATCTGGTCGCCCAAGGTGCGCAAAGCGGTCGGCCTGGACCGTGCTGTGTCGATGGTGTCGGGCAGTGCCCAGCTCGACCCGGATGTGCAGACATTCCTGCGCGCGGCGTTCGGCAACAACTTTTTGCAGGGTTTCGGTATGACGGAGACGTGCGCCGTCGGTTCCGTGCAGACGCGTGGCGACATGACGACGGGCAACATTGGCGGCCCGCAGGGCGGCTGCGAGTTCTGCATCGAGTCGGTGCCGGATCTGGAGTACACGGTGGACGACAAGCCGAACCCGCGCGGTGAGCTGCTGGTACGCGGCCCGATCCTGTTCAGCGAGTACTTCAAGAACCCCGAGGAGACGGCCCGCGTTGTGGATGCGCAGACGGGCTGGTTCCACACGGGCGACATTGTGGAGGTCAACGCGATGGGCCTGTTCAGCATCATCGACCGCAAGAAGAACGTGCTGAAGCTGGCGCAGGGCGAGTACGTGTCGCCGGAGCGGATCGAGAACGTGTACCTGGGCGCGTGCCCGCTGTTGGCGACGGCGTTTGTGCACGGCGACCCGATCGAGGCGGCCCTTGTGGCGGTGTTTGGCGTGGATCCGGAGGCCTTCGCGCCGTTTGCCAGCAAGGTGCTGGGCGGCGACAAGACCTCGATTGCGGCTACGGACCGGGAGGCGCTGAAGAAGGCGGCGCAGGATCACCGGGTGCGTGCCGCGGTGCAGGCCATCATGGACGGCATTGGCAAGAAGCACAAGTTCAACGGATTCGAAAAGGTCCGCAACGTGTACCTGGACATTGAGCCGTTCACGGTGGAGAACGATCTGCTGACGCCGACGCTCAAGCTGAAGCGTCCGCAGGCGGCGCGGGCGTTCCGCAAGGAGCTCGACCAGTTGTACGCCGAGTTGCGCGAACAGACCACGTCCAAGCCGAAGCTGTAAGGATGGCGTCTGCTGGGTCGTGGGGGTGGAAAATGGAGCGTTGTAGGCTGGGATTGATCTATATCGCTTGCGGTCGATCGTCAGCGGCGATATGTAATGTTTTTTTTTTTTTTTTCGGTGAGGGCTGAGTTCATTTTCTCATATACGTCTTTGTGTACATTTATATTGCCTTCTTGTCATTTTGGATTTATTTTGTCAGAAAAACACAAACCTATTGTGGAGTTAATTCAAATGTAAATCGCAAGTTGAAATCAAAAAGAAAATGGGAGTGACCAAGACATCAATGTTGGAACAAGGGGGAATAAATAAATAACAAACCTGAGAATAGACACATCCATCGCCAAACCTCACGCCAGACCTGCTACGATACAAACCTTGACGGTCAGGAAAGCAGAGTGGTCACAATGGTGGACAGTAACGGTACGGGTGGTAACGGCACCTGTGTCCATGATACATATCGCCCGTCCCTTTATCGTTATGCCTGACTATGGGGATCTTGTTCAAGAGAGACAAGCGGGATAAATATAAAGAGAGATAGTTGAAGATGAAAAGTTAGCGAAGAGACAGAAGCCGAAGAAGAAAAAGACAAAATAACGATGTAGACCCTGAGACACTGAAACGATCCCACGAGAGGCAGGACGTTTTTCTTATATCGTAACGACTGGTCCCTCTTGCCAAGCCCTTCGGGGTATTTCTTCCGTCTGATCTCAAATCCAGGACTCTCCCCATCACACTGGCAAACGAGCTTATATGAGTAATACGACCAAGTACGGCTTACTCCGTACGTCGTAACAGACTACCGAACCGCCGCATATTACAATACCCGTACTTTCGGCGTAAGTGTAACGTTTCGAAGGGCACATCTTCTGGGCGCTTCGTATTCCGCGTGTCGTGAGACGTTGTTCTCATAGGCCCTCGTAGGCGCTGTAATCAGCACTAGAGCCATACAGCCTGCCTTTGCGGTTGCTAGCTCTTATGTATTACTATCTCATCTGGGGCCTCCACCAATATCATCCTGTATTACCATGTCGTTCCACAATCACCCTGTATACTTGATGTTGTCTCGATTTCGTCCGAGGTGTGATACAGTCGGTTTTGAGACAAACAGTGCGCTGGCAGCGTGTGTTCGCATGTTTTTAATCACACGGTTATGGGGTATTCTAAGGCTGTTCATTAGGGGACTGGCGGTGTTGGGGAAGTTGAAGTTGGGGCCCTGTGCGTTCGATTTACAGCGTCTAGCTAGCATATCAGGCAAACCGTTTAGCGCTCAGCGGTCAATACGGTGCTAGTGTCACAATTGTTCGTCCCCTCCTCTAACATGACTTAAAGTGAAAGCGATAAAGTAAACTGGCACTTTAAGAAAAGGTCACCTGATCACATTGGCTAATTCAGACCTATTGTTTTGTCTGCTTACAGACGCTCAAACGTAAAACGAAAGTTGGACTATACTCTGGAGGTCCGGTTCGAATGGTAAAAAGTGTTCGTCCGATATGTGGCCCAGCCTTCGTTCTACTTTAACAAAAAGCAGTGTTAGAGAAGTAAACGAGAACATATATCGAAACCACCACGTTTTTTACGCCGAAATGCTCGTTGCTACCTTGTTATGTCCACTTACGACGAAAGCTTGCCAGAATTCACCTTGGCCTTAACATTTTGGGATTTCAAATTATTTCTTATTACAGGCCAATACAGCGCTAATCAAATCAAGGACCAATTACACTTAGCATCTATGCCACAAATGCAGAAGCCAAACAGACGACTTGATACGTGGATTTCCAAGTCTATCTAAGCTCTCTTTATAAATGACTTAATTCATTACAGAGCAGTCAGATATCATGGTTTTAATAATTTAATACTCTTTTTTAAATAAACCTAACCTTTAAAATACAAAACTTTACGTTAGCATTTCTCAGTTATTAAAAAGTTGTAAAATTATATATTAAATTAACGTTTGATCGGACTTTTGTTATTGCGTCCCGGTTCCACTTTAATAAGCCGGCTGCGATGGTAGCGTCTTCGAAATAATGTCGATTACGGCAGAGTACGTCGTTTTATATCACATTTACTTTACTCGAGCACCTTAATGGGTTTCCGACGTGCTTTAAACGGGCATTACTACAACTTCAGCGACACAACCTAAACGCGACAGGAGCTATATTGCGGGCGGGCCAAAACCCTCGACCCGCCCCTTGTATGAGTCGTCTGGTTGTCGTTGACAATGGCGTGGCCAAACCACGCATCAAACAGTCAACAGATTAACACCCATGGCAACATCAATGGCAACATCAATGGCAATAGCGCGGGCAATAACGCGGGCAACAGCACTGGAAAAACCAATGGCAATGGTGCCTTTCATAGCAGGCAAACCAGCGAAAGCCGCATCACCAACGGCATAGCTTTGGCCGCGGAGCTCGCTGGGTCCGCCGCCATAACCAGCCCGCCTTCCAGCCAGCTGTCTGTCGACAGCAGTTCCGGACGGCCGGCTTTCAAAAACCCGTTGGGCGCTTGGAAGTCGCCATCACCGCCGGCGAAACGTCAGAAGACGACGGGGCATACTGGGTCAGCAGCGGCAGCGGCAGCGGCAGCACCAACACCTATTTCGGCCTCGGTAGGAGTTGGAGGCGGCCTCCAGGCCCCTTCGTCACAACCATTTTCCCAGTCATCCCCTCTATCACTCCCGCCAAAGTCGCCACAGCCATTGTTGCACAAGCTAAAGAGCCCAGGCACGTTTTCGCCCGGCCAGCCGACGCCGGGCGCGACGTCAACACCGGCACGTGCCCCGGCGCAAACGCCAATACGGCCGCCAGTGCGGCCCGTGGACTCGGCGAGCACTGCGGCCAAACGACGCATCTCTGCCCCCGTCAAAGTGCGGGAAGCTGCAGAGAACAACCGGATTGTTCTCATCATTGATAGCGACGACGATGACGATGACAACGATCGTGTCGGCGCCAGAAACACAGGCCCGACTCCTGTCCCGGTTCCGGTCGTTCCTACCGCTCAGGCGAGTGCCCTGCCAAAACACGTGCGTCTCCTTTGCCCTTTGTTTGTTTGTGTTCGTCACGTTATTCACTTTATGTACTCTCGTGGTTGTCGCTCCTTCCTCGACACGTTTCCATATACCGCGTTTTGTTTGTCATCTTTCCTTTTTAACATTTACTAACGCGTCTTAGCCTTTAAACCCTCCCGTCACGCCCATACCTCTTCCTCTTTACGGCCGTCTGTCAGGCTCGCCAAGCGTAACCAAAGCGGTAGGTGCGAGGCCAAACGTCCCGCCGAGAGTTACGCCCATCGCGCCTCCCCAGTTCATAATGCACACGGCGAACGCAATTACCTCGCGGCCAAAAAGCCCATTTGAACCCACCCCTGTCAAACGACGTCCATCGGACGACAGTATCATCAACATCAACGACAGACTTCACATCACCCCCCAAGCACGGCCAGCGGCAAGCCAGGGGGCCTCTTTCCCCCCCGCAACGCCTATACTAGTGACGCCCGCGAGGCCTGTCACGACGACTGGCCCAACAACGTACGGGGCGCCAGCACCGGCCCCGCCGCCGTCTGCCATTGCAGCCTACGTCCCGTCGGACATTGCCAGCCCTGTCATCCACCGCCATGAGCCACGTTCGACGAGGAAGCCCATCGAGGAGCACCTCGAGCCGGCCGTCAACGTCGACATAACACCGGTAAAGTCGAACACGCCAATGCTAGTGTCTCGGAAGCAGTCGAAAGGCCAACGCAAAGGCCAGCAACCAAAGACGCACCAGCACTTTGTTCGCTACGCCCACCTGACTCACCGCCCCTACCTGCGCTCATCCCACCGCCGCTTCGTGGCACAAAACTACCACGAACTACCGAACCTGCTTGGCTTGCCTCTGACTACCCAACAAAGAGGACTATCCGCCGCCGCCGTCGCCGATCCTTCTCCTTTTCAGTCTCCTTCTCCATCCGTTGTCATTCACGTTGATTTCTTACCAGATGAAATCCACCATCTGCTCGACGTCGTCCGCTTCGTCCACACCAACGCCGGCATGGGCGTGGGCGTGGGCGTGGGCAGGTCGTCAAAACAATCCGTTGGCCAGAAACACTCGTCTGCGGAGCGAGAGCTGAAGAGTTTGTTGCGCCGCCAGCCACCCGAGTTTGAACAGCTCGTTGTAAACAGCACCACGCCTGCTCGCCTTCCAGGACGTAGTCAAAAGGACATCTTCAGCTTTCTGATCGATGCCCGTGCTGGCAGCATCAACTATAACGACGGTAACAGTGGAAGTGTCAGTAGCAGCGGTAGCTACAGCAGCAACAAGAGCCGAAGCAGTCTCTTCAACGCAGAGGCACTGGCTCCGGCTCTGGGCGGACCGTCCGCAATAGTCATGAAACGCAGCGACCGTGCTGCCTACTCACTACAGGAAGCACGGGCGGAGCGCGCCACAAAGCTCAATACATTCATTATGATGCGTGAAGTGGCCGGCCAGCGGCCCGTCCAAGGCCGCTCGCGCCAGCTACTCAACTTTACCAACGCAGTCCGCACCGTCCGCGAGGACGGCTTACGCCTGAGAAACGAGTGGACTAACCTCGCCGGTGACGTCACGACTGTCTCGTGGACCTCAAAAGACGCCTTCATCTGCGGCACCACCACCCACATGGACGAGCGAAACCACCAATACAACCGCCAGGGCAACCTTGCTCTGGGCTCAGTCAGCGCTGGTACCCTCCGTGGCTACCCGGACCACCGCATCGTCCGAACCCGTGCCATTACGACTTTAACAAACCCGACGAACCCGACGCAACAACAACAGTCCGGCGCCGACGATCCGTGGCTATACACCTCCGTCGTCTCGTCCGACTACGATGCCACCCACGATTTGGCCTTCACATCCGGCTTCGACAACAACGTAATCGTGTGGAAGGTGAGCAAGGACGGTACCTCCATGGCCCGCCAGGGCGTCTGGCGGCACGAGGGCAAGGTCAACTTCGTCGTTGCCTCCAGCGGTATACACTGTCTTGTGGCCACCGCCGCCGACGTCCCCGTCCAAGCCGTGCGCGTCTACCGCCTGCCTAGCGTGCAGGAGCGCATGCAAGGCAACCGCCAAATCTCCTATAAGATGTTCTCGTGCTCGCGCATCGTTGACCTCGAGGGCCGCCCCGTCCTCACCGACAAGTGGGCCTACTTCCCTGCCGCGATCCGCTGGGGTCTGTCCGAAACTACACGCCACCTGCTGCTGGTCGGCTACTCCCCCCGCGGCCTCGACATCAACGCCGAGGACGATGACATTCCTGAAGATCGCCGGAATTCGGGCGAGCTCTGTCTGTGGGACGGCCTAACAGGCGAGCCCTGGCGCATCCTCGGCGCCAGCTCCCAAAACGTCTTTGAGGTCGCCTGGCACCCCACCCAGGCCTGCTTCGTCGCCGCCACCGCGCCCACCGTGCACCAGGCTCTCGAGCAAAACGCCCGCACCCAGATCCGCATTTTCCGGCTGTCTGTCAACAGTGAGTATGGCGGGCGCGCCTACAGCGAGGTCCAGACGCTCGACTGCTACGCCGATGACATCAACGAGCTGGCCCTACGGCCCAACAGTTTTGGTTTCCTGTACGTCGCCGCCGGCTGCACCAACGGCCACACCTATGTCTGGGACACGTCGCAGGGCGACTACCCCATCTACGACCTAGGCCACGACGCGTGCATCGAAGAGCAGGCGGGCGAAAAGATCTCCGTCGAGGACACCGGCGTCAAGTTTGTTGCCTGGGGCGAGACCCCAGACCGGCTGTACACGGGCTCGTCGGACGGGGCAGTCAAAGTGTGGAACATTCGCACACATGGCGGCTCGCGACTCTCGCCGGCTGTGCGCAACCTCTTGCAGTGCCCGGCACCCGTCTCGTTTGGCGCCTTCTCGCCCGACAAGTCCAAGCTTGCCATTGGCGACGCCAGTGGCCGCGTCTCCCTCCTGTCCGTCGAAGACGGTGTGGAGGAGGACGACGAGGACGGCAGTTTCTTGAGTGACGAAGAAGAACAAGAAGACGATTTTGCTGGGACAAAGAAGACGCCCCAAGCTGCCCGTGTCAATGGTAACCTCCAGCACAGCCATCCTGCCCATCTCGCGTTCAAGCACCACCCGCCTGAAGTCATACGCCATGCGACTCCTCCGCCACCATCATCGCCTCCGCCGACCGCGGGGCAAAACCCCCTACAGCAGACACCACCATCTGCCGCCGCTATCACTTCCACTGCCACTACCACTGCCACTGCCACTGCTGCCAATGGCGATGAAGAAGACGAAAACGTTGCCATTGCGACATCCCGGGCTTTTCTGTCCTCGGGGCAACTTGTCATCGTGCCCGACCCCACCGTTGGCGCCGTCAAGGGCCCGAACTACGCCGACACCAATCTGTTTTGTACCGAGTACCACCAGGACAAACGGCCCGAGCTGCCCTTGCTGGCCGAGTACGAGCGCGTCCAGCAGGAAAACCAGCCACGCGCCAACACGTCCCCCTCCCGGCAGCGAGCCTTGCGCAGTGTCTATCCGGACGTGGCGCCTGCCACCATATTCGGTTCCTCTGCCTCCGGCGTGTCCGTCCTCGGTGCTCCAGACCCATTGCAGGCCCTGCAGCGACAAAATACCATCCGTCGTGTCCAGGTGCTGCACGCCAGAAATATAGCGTGCGACCTTGACGTCAACAGCCTGCCCGTCGAGACCCGCGAAGCCCTTGAGCTGGCGGACCGCGCCGCGCTGCTTCACATTGATGACGACGACTACGACTACGGCTTTGACTACGAAGAGGTGCCGGACACTGTTTGATGCGTGTGATGCGTGCCACGATATCGCATTCTATGTAACAATACGCCTATGCTTTTACCGTTTATATCTATACCCATTTCCGTTGCAATTCTTTCGGTTCTTTCTCTCTGTTTTGTTTTCTTGCACATAAATGATAATATGCCTTACGATAGCCATTGCATTTCGTCGATAAAAAATTCAAAAAGTGAACATCCAAAACACCTCCCGTTTTCGTCTGACAACCTTGCCTTTGTGGGGTGACAAATGACAACCCTTTCCTCGCACTGTCTTTCTTCTAACCTGTAGCCCGAGCCATTTCTTGGCCATGGTAGTCACTCTGGTAACCAGCCAACTACAGGCATGCCCTGTGAATCAAGGCAGCAGTGGTGGCTTTGCCCGTTGAAGGTAGGGGTGTACTGATGTACTGATGTACTGATGTGCTGGATGTAAGACACGCCGCAAGTTGTGCAAGCCTTGGCTGTGTGACCACGACGAACAGTGAAAGGTATGATGAGACTGACGCGATACGATGGGATCTTGGGGGGAGGAAAGGTTGTTGGCAAAGGACGTGACAAATTATCAACAGTCATCCGTACGGTTTCATGCTGTCGTTCTTCTTGGCTGCGTGACGTTTCCTCTGACGAGGGTATCCATCCCCTTGGCTGTCTCGCCGTCTCTCATTTGCTGTTGGGCGGATCGGACACGTCCCGACACGAGAGGAGGGCCTTGTCCTTGCATGGGGTAGGTGCCAAGGAATGTCATATACCTGAAATACGTTTTCGTCCCAAAACATGTGTGATCCTTTCTGGAAGCCACCTGGGAACGCTCTGGCTGCATCCGTACAATGGTCAACAACATGTCTTGCTTTACAGACAGGCTAGCAAATACGACTACCGGGGCGTCTGACGTGTAGGAAAAAGAACAACGTATCAGGCCGTCGCTTGGGTCGTGTCGGGTCGATCTCTGTCCGACTCACACGGCGGTCCTCCGGCCTGCCAGGTATTTGGCGCGACGGATTGTGCCCTCGTTGTGGCCCCACGGCCAGCGCATGTGCCCCCATGCCAAATGACCGTCGGTTCTCTTTATCAGCAGTTCTTTGCCCGTGTTGTGTAGATCGTCTATTCCGTGTGTCTATTTACAGCACATGACAAAACGGTTCGCCGTGCCCCAGCCTCTTTCCCCCCTCTTTCCCACATCTTCCCCTTTCTCCCCCTGTCTTGGCGTTGATGATTTACATCTTGGGTTGTCTTGTCCCTGACGAGCCATTGTTGTGACAAAACAAAGAAAGGGATACAAACGACAAGAGTAAGATCAATTTAGCTTCTTGTGTCGACTTGCATACGCCAAGACGATAACAAATGTAGAGGCAGAGAGGTCTCGCCCGAGTACAGATAGTACCACCGTCAGAGGGCGGAAATGCAGTCTTGGCTCGTCGATCATTTTTCTTTTCTCACTACCCAGCCTTGCCTTGCCTCGCGAGTGCCGGTCACCAATGGCGCCGGCCTGTTGAATAAAATGAAAACAACGGGGACGCAGGCACAGCCTCGTTTTGTTTTCATGGCCGTGCTCCTGCTTCGTCTTGTCTCGGTCTCCCTTATGCCCTTGCCCTTTCTTGATATTCTTTATTTTGTTCCACCTCTTATCTATGGACAGTCTGTCATTTGTGTTCTCGTTTTGTAAAACATAGACGAACGGCTTGATGTTCCGACGTCGTAGATGTCATCATTTCACGAGATCATCCCCTTCGGCCTTGGTATCTCTGTCATTCGTCTGCCAAGTCTCCGTGTTTGAGCGTCTAGACGTTCTTCTTCGTGGATAAATACACACATATATATAATGTATAATTATTTGTTTGTTTATTGTTTGTTTTTATGTGATTTTGTCGCGTTCAATATTTAAACATATTCGCAGCAAATATTTATGGCGGGATATTCTTGAAGATGACATAAAATAATCACAAAAATTAAAGGTCGATTTATAACCAAAATGCCATCAAAACCATAACTAGCTGTGTCACTGTAGATTCCCGGCGCTCCAGGATGAACATTGCGGTATGAGGTATTACACGTGTATATGAAACAACACCCGTGAACCGGAAAATCAACAGGTGATGTCCCTTTTCTTTTCTACCGTGCCGAGATTCACAACCTGTACTTCGTACGGATGGAAACGGCTGGTCCCTCCCCTTTCCTCCTCCCTTGGCCGGAGTGGTACTTCACAGTGAATATCATTTTATTTCTCCGCACAACGTACAACAGCCGGAGAAAAAAAAAGCAAGGCTGGGACTATACAATCTGACAGGCACCCTATTGGCTGCTGTGCTTTCTGACATACCCTGGTATTTCTAGCATATTATGCCGAGAAGGATACGCACGCAAAACATGGCAGCCAATATCCAATATCCCCTATTACTGGGTATTCTTGGCGACGTCCATCATTGCCTCTGTGAAGTGAGAGACAGGCGATCTGTTTAATATTTACTTCCCTCTTGTTGTGCCTGGTCACATCAATGGCACCTGGGTTAGAAGCTGCTGTCTGCTGCACACGTCCACCGACGCGTACGCTCCTGTAATTTGCTCTGTAAAGCGTTACGATACCCTGTGCGCACTTGAAATCTCACAAATATAGCACGGATGGCACCGTGCTCTCTGTATGGGTGAATGCACCACTACGTAGAACATACCGTCTTACAACAAGAGTGTTACGGGATATTCCCGCAGGGAAGGACATGGACGGACGCCAACGTGCCAATAGGTTGGTCCAGGTGTCGCATCCCTTGTCGTGAGCACGTCCTCTATGGAAATACAGAGTAACACGTCGTACACTCAGGCTCAAACCCTCGAACCGTTTCCATATGAACATCGACAGCAAAGTTGTACGTACGCTCACTCTTAGGCAGCTTATCAGGATCCTCGAGCCCCCGGTTCGTAGATAGATATTATCTTGGCACCGTTTCTCCCTTGTTTGTTTCAACTGGGTGCACGGCTCTGTTTATCATCCGCACACAGTGTTTGATCCCTCCATTCAGTTCGGATGAAAGAAGTTCTCTCTGATTTGCCCGTTGGGGAAAGGAAAAGAAAGAAGAAAACGTCCTGTGCACACAGACAACCAACAAGGCCACCGTTTCAAATGCGTGGACTTGGGCCGAGCTGATATTGGACGGCTGTTTCATGAAACAAAAATTAGTCAATAACACGGTAGTTTTACAATAGTACAACATACTTGTAGACGGTTTTCTTCCTAGCACTCCTAACCCAGTTGCAGCCCACTCCGAGTGCGCCCATGGTATGGTTACTGACCCCCTGCCTGCTTTCATTTTGCAGTCTCGCACACGTTCAGTGTTGTGTTTGCTCGAAGCTGAAAAGACGCCATGGCTAAATAAGGACAACAGAGGCTTGGCAGACGCAACCTACCGAGTTTAGGGCGGTTTTGGATCGCAAAGGTAAACAACATCCAAGCCAAGGGCACTTCCTGAGAAGACCGCCATCGTTCGATATGACGATGCGCGTTCCTCACAGACAGAGAAAGCCCAAACGAGGCAAGGCGGCTCGCTGCATTTCTCAGACATCATACCACGGGAACGTCATGTGAATGGGACCTGTCTGAGATGATGAGTGCTCATCCTAGCCATCCACAGATATCCGTAGCCATCCGTGGTCAAAACACATATTCTTGCTATCTGTAGTTACGATGTTTCATGGCTCGACTTGTCCTTATCACGTTTCGATAATGCCACTTCCAGGAATAGACGCAGTGCCACATAGTCATCAACGTCGCACGCGCTTCTTGCTTCCCTTTTCTCTTCTAACCTCCACCTCTTCGCGGCTGTCCTGATTTATTTGTTTTTCAGCCAGTCTCTTTATTACTGCCCCCCGCCGCAGTAGCTTCTGCACCTCTGAAAGGTACCCTTTGGCTCCAGCTTCAAAGCTTCGTTCCGTCCAGAGGAGCTTCGCGCAGGGAAACGACAAAGTGGAGCGACAAGACCCGGTTTCATTCTTTCCTGATGTGGCATGGCTTGGCGCGCTTTTGAATTTCGAAACATTTCGGTAAATTATTTCGTGCTTGTTTTCTTCAATACCATCGCCATTTCTGCTCGAGGACCCCGTTTTCTTTCGTAGCTTGGAAACTTGGACCTAGAGAGCAACTGCAAACCGGCCCTTTGCAGCACCGACAGTGCATAAGTATTGCGGATCTCGAGGAGATTGCTTGTGGACAGTAGGCGGAGCGCAGTTTGGAGACGCCTATTGATGACGACCTACGCGGTCCTGAGAAGCAAGAAGAAACGAGGTAGAAAAGACGTTCAAGCAGGTGACGCGAGACGCGTCAATACCACCAAGTCGCCAAGTCGCAGAGGGCCACAGTGACAAGATGCGCTGGACAAGGGTCTGTCCCCTGTCAGCTACGATGCTATGGAACGCGGTTTGATCGAAATTGACGAGAAATGATCCGCGCGCTGGCGATCGACCGCCCGTTCCTCCGCTGGTCTGAGCGTTCTTTATTTGGCTTGTGTTGTTCTCCCATTTGCCATCTTTTGTTGCACTCAATTGCCGGGGGCTTGCCAAGCAGTTTTCAATTGGACCGGGCGCATCAGGCAGTTGAATCGCAAAGTTTTGATATGGACTGAGTTTGACAGTGAAACGGAACAATTGGGCTGACGATTGTGGATTATCGACATAGCTCAGGCTGGGTTGCTCTTGCCCCGTGTGCTCCTGCCTTCTCTACGATCCGCCGTACATGCCGAAAATGGTCTTGAGAATTACGACGTGGAGAGCAAGCGAAGCGAGGCAGGCACAAGAGACGGAAAGAACGGACGTGGTTGACAGCAAAACTACAAAGTACCATGGTCCCACCAAAACGGCTCAAGAAACAGGCACAGGAGCATACTTTTATTTCGAAACAAGTCGTCCAGAGAGGCCCAATTTTCAGGACCTCTTGTCTATACTCCGTACATCGTCTGGACAAAAAAATGGTCGTGTGCCCCTACTGACCGTCCTGCACGAAGCGTTCATGTGCGGCAAAGT